GCCCTGGACTGTGTGTGGTGAGCTATGCACATTTGAGTAGGTACGTGAGGGGCCTGGACGACACTGCTGCTCTGACCGGGCTGTGTGGTGTTTCTGTCCTTCCCTCTCGCTCTGCCTGTGATCCCCACAAGATGTCAATCTGCTGACCACAAGACATCACCAAACAACCCCCTGAAACCCAATCCCTTGCCTTATTTGGGTTGAACTTTCTTGAATGGCTTCCCCTCGATCAACAGGAGGTCACAGGCGTGGTCTCTCTTTTTGTGCCTGCCTCTCTTGCCCCCTTTGTGGAAGCTGAGCTCGAGAAGCCGTCACTGATCCCCGAAAAATGTATGTCCTGTCTCTGTGGGGCTATTTAGTAGCCAGCTCAATTCACCTGGAGTGACCCTGACTGCTTCAGTCCCGTGCTGCGGCCAGTACCCCTGAGTTCAATCCCTGGTACTAAAAAAAAAAAAAAAGAAAAGAAAAGAAAGAAATCTATCTGGAGTAGGATGCTTTACTCTCTCCACTGTTGCACTGTGTTTTCTCACTGTTGCAAGGAGGGGTCAGAGGCTGTGACGTTCTTGGGCATCGGATTTGGTTTAGGATTGGATTCATTCACCTTCTCAGAAGCTGAGAGGACAGACCCACCCAGGGGAAGACAACAGGGCATCCTGTGATAGCAGCCGCGCAGCTGCAGTCCTGACAGGGCGCTGTCATGTCTAACGTCACAGAGGGGCGGGCAGGGTAAACGCTGCTGCAGCTACAGGAATGGCTGGCTCCAGACACATGTCCTGCTTGCTGGCTCCCACAGATAAGAGCCTCTCAAGTGCAGGGAGCTGGTCACTGGGAAACACCCAGCCTCCCCCTGATGGTGTTTGCCAGAATAAGTGGTAGAAACTTCCAGACCACAGCCTGGATCCCACTTCTGCATAACAAACCTCACGCTGGTTTGTGGAAGTGGCAGAATCCTTGCTTCACGGGAGGCAGGGAGGATCTTCCTTATCTTGGAAAGCTCAGCAGACGTCAGCAGGCTCCGAGGCTGAGGCAGCCCCGCTCAGCGGGAAAACCCCTGCACCTTCTGACATTCCTGGGAACCCCACAGCCGTCTCCGCCCTGTAGAGGTGGGGCTGACGGGGTGACCTCCAGTTCATCGCACCTTCCTTCCTCCTGGGGGAGACTTAGGACCCCAGCAAATGAAGAATGGCATGTTTCTCCCTGGCCTGAGGCAGAGCCAATCGACAGAGAGAGAGAGAGAGAGAGAGAGAGAAAGGCACAGGCTGGGCTGGTGGTGCACACCTGTGATCCCAGCGGCTTGGGAGGCTGAGGCAGGAGGATCGTGAGTTCAAAGCCAGCCTCAGCAACTCAGCAAGGCCCGAAGCAACTCAGCGAGACCCTGTCTCTAATAAAATATATAAAAGGGCTGGGGATGTGGCTCAGTTGTTAATCGGCCTGGGTTCAATCCCTGTACACCCCCCCCCCAAAAAAAAAAAAAGACACAGAGGATGATACGCAGGGGAAAGAGGGACAGAGAGCAGCTCCACGGTGGTACTACCTGAACAACAAACAAAACCCACAATCAGGCCAGGATGTGTGACCCAGGGGCTTGTCACCGCCTCCCCCGTCTCCCATCTCCTCTGAATGGAACAACTGAACAGGGTACAAATTTGACTGCCTGTCATGGATTCAAAACAACAAGGGCCTTGATTACCCAGAAATGTGGATTTCACTGGGCCACAGGCCGTGCGGGTAGGAATCAGGGCTCCGGCACCTCATTCTCTGCCCTTCCTATGGGATTGCGTTTGTCCTCAGGACCTGAGACTCCTCTCTACCATGTCCCTAATCCAGGCTGAAAGAGGGAAAAACAAGAAAAGGAGATTGTCCTTGAAGGGTGTGACCAGAAATGGCACAAGTCTTTTCCACCCTTGACTAGAGCCTGGTCACATGACCACGTTGGTTGCAAGGGACACTGGGAAATGTAGTCTTTCTCTCTGGCAACCACGTGCCCAGCATAAACGTCCTCAGCTAGGAAAGAGGGGCTCAGTGGATTGCGGAGGCCCTGCTAGCTTCCCTGTCAAGTCAATTTGTCCCCAGTAGTTTCTCCCAGTGCAAGGGCAGGTCCCTGTCACGTGGTAGGAGAGAGATGACCCAACTGCCTTCTTTCTGGAGAGCACAAATCTGAATGCCGGGGAAGGGCGGGGTCTGAATGAAGCAAGTTCCTTTTCTTCAAGCCTCAGCCCCCTTCCGGTTTCTCACTGGGGCACTTTTGCCATCTTTAGGTCAGATCAGTCCTTGGTGTGGGGGACAGCCCGCCTATTCCTGCAGGATGTTTGCCCAGGAAGTGTGGTGTTAGGGGACAGGCAGGGGGGACGGTGGGAACTCAGAGTTAAGAGAATGCTTCTGTCAAATGGGCCCACGTGGCTGGCCCCTCATGCTCTGTTTTGCAAGAAGCAATCCCCCCTGCAGCCCGGCCTGGCCTCCGTGAACCGGCCATGTCACATTCCTCAGCAAACTGCCAGAGAAACACAGGCCCAAATAGTGCTAAGAGGAACCCGGGTTGCTCTGAAGGAGACTTTTGTGACCTGATCCTGAAACCCTGGGAGATGGGGACAGTCCTCCTAACCTACAGTCTGTAGGAACGCATGGCTAAGAAGCCAATTAGATGGGCGGGGGTTTGGCCCAGTGGCAGAGTGTCCCCAGCCGTCCAGGGCTGTGTGTGGACTATTGAGCCCAGTAGCCACATGAGGGGGAGGGCCCGGCACTGCGCTCTCTGGAGCACCCCCTCAGGGACTGACCCCCTCCTCCACCTCTGCCTAGGACCCCTCACAGCACCTGGGATGTTGTGACCTGCCAAGATGTCAGTCAGTCTGCTGGCCAGGACATCAGGAAGCAAGACTCTGCTCTTGAAGCCTTATCCCTGTCTTTGATGTCCCAGCAATAAAATAAACCAAGGGCCGGGTGGGGGGGTGTCTCACGCCCTCTTTCCAGCGCTTTCTCTCTTTCCATCTGGAACTTGACCCTCAAGGTCAAAGAGCCATCCTGCCCAGTTATCTGGACACTACTTTCTGTGTTGTGTGATTTTTTTGCTGCCTTTTTTAGCTTAATGTGGCAGCCAGCCCGTTTCAACCCCATTTGTCATATCTGCGCGGGTCGCGGGCGAGAGGGGAGCATTTGCCTGACACGGGCTCTGGGTTCAATCCCCAGAAATGCAAAAAAAGAATCCAATCAGAACTTGTCAGCATGGGCAAAGGTGACAGAGCTGCCTGGCAGTGGGGACTTGAAAGTCTGACGTCATCCTGATGTCAGTCAAAAGTCAAGCGCTGGTTCTGGAAACTTCTCTGGGATCCCCAGTAAAACTGGAGGGCAGGAGAGGAACGTTGTCCCTGTCCTCTCTGAGAAGACCCACTCCCTCCCTTGACAGTGTCCCCTTTCCCTTTTCCTATCCATTCCTGTTACTCCGAGCGACATGTCCGAGATCTTTCCAACTTGATCGCAAGAATTGGGGTTCGAAGGGGGGTCTGCGCTGCCTGGTTTCCCGCAGGCCCTAGCTCCGGGACATCAGCACCGTCTCATCCTCAGGCATCGGAGGACCAGATTGAAGGCAGATGTTTCCAAAACCCCTGGAGGGGGCAGGGTGGAGCTTTGACTGGGAACAACAGGGGCATTTTGGCCATGGAAAGTGACCCAGGGATAGGACTTCCCACAATCCAGTCCCTGGCAGGACAAGAGGGAGGGTGTGGCCATCAGCCCAGTGGACCTTCAAGCTGCTTTGTGACAACTTGGCTTCGTTGAGAGACCCCATGCACTGCTAGGATGCCCTGACCCACCACAGAGCCAGCCTCCCCTAAACCCTAGTGAAAGGAGCCGTCCATGGGCTGCACGTGGGTCACCGGCATGGAAGCCTCCCGGGTAGAGACATCTGGTGTCTGGGAAGGGCCACTTGTCATTTCCTCTAGTCAATCGCCAGGGACAGTGTGGGTTTCTATCCTGCTCTGCCGTGGCCCACAAGCACCTGAGAAGGGTGTGACCTGCCAAGATGCCAATCAGCCTGCTGACTGCAAGAATCAGGTAGGGAGACTTTGCCCCTGAAACCTTACCCCTGCCTTTGATGTGCCTCTTAAATAAACAACGGGAGCCATCTTGACTCTGTCTGGTTCCAGCTCCCATGTGGACGAGATCTATCAGGGGCTTCGCCTTTTGTATATATATTTCTGAGAATTTGTGTTTTGTTATTCACTAATTATTTGAGATTTTAAGTTTTCGGGTGGCTTACACCCTCCTGGGTGGGAAGAAGAACCCCCCAGTGAGATGCTGGCTGTCGACCCCCCGACACCCTGGTACTGCCTCTTAAGAGCTTGGACAATTTATTGAAGCTTCATGTATCTCTATTTTCTTGTGTGAAAAATGGAAACAATCTTTTCTACCACTTAGAGATGTTGGAAGGTTTTTAAAACCTGGGCCTTTACACGGAGACCCCAGGCTCCAATCCCAACAGCTGGGTCTGCCCAGCCGTTGAGCAGCTGTGTGGCCTGGATCGGTCATTTAACCTCTCTGGGCCTCCCTTTCCTCTGCTGCAGTAGGAGGGAGAGGGCCGCACCTGCCTCACAGGGCTGCAGGAGAGAGATAAGAGCTGTGAAGTCTGAAGTCACAGGAGCCGGTCCCAAAGCTCATCTGTGTCAAGAACAGTGGCCAGCAGCAGGCAGGGTGGCACACGCTGGGGCTGAGGCAGGAGGATCACAAGTTCAAAGCCAGCCTCAGCAACTTAGCAAGGCCCTAAGCAACTCAGGGAGATCCTGTCTCTAAAAACAATACAATAAAGGGCTGGGGGTGGGGCTCAGGGGTTAAGCACCCCTGGGTTCAATCCTTAGCACACACAAAAAAAAACAGCTGCCAGCTCAAGGTCAAGATCTCTGTCCATCTGTCCATGCGGGCAGTTGTCATGACTGCTCCTGGATGGGAGGAGGGAGGCGGAGAGGTTTTGGCGGCGTGCCAGACAGAAAGCTTCACTCAGAACGCGGACAGACGGGTCTTGTGGGTCTGTTTCCTGGTTGAAGCGTCGGTTGGCACTCAGCTTCACAGAGGCTGAAACCTGGGGAGCTTCTCTGTGAGTCATTTAAAGGAAAACACGTGCAAAGAGCAGAGCAGGAGGCGCGTGCAGTCACGAGGAAGGGTCAGGAGAGAGCCCGGCTCTGGAGAGGGCTCGAGGCCACCCAGCGAGCCAGGGCAGCACACTTGGGGTGTCGGCAGGGGTCCCACCCTCAGCCTCGCGGGTTTCATTCAGCAACTACTGTGGCCCGCGGAGGGGCAGAGCTCTGGGCCCAGGTGTGTGGAGGTGACGGGGCCTCTGAAGGGGACAGTGGGAGGGGGACAGAGGGGACACAGTGGGGAATAACGAAGGTGGCTCAGTGTCACTGTGACCTCCTACTGCCAATCCAGAGAACTGGGACTCCATCCTCCCACAGAGAGTGGGAGGCAGGCCCTGCCTTCCTGCAGGGTTTCCAAGGGACAGTGTCCCCTCAGGCTGAGGTGGCCCAGCGGGACAGTGCACCGAGCAGACGCCAGGCCCTGGGTGCCAGCACCCAGAGAGAGGGTGGCATTCCAGAGTTGCTGGAGACACTGACATGGCTCAGGGAAGGGAGTCTGGAGGGACGTGGATTCTCCCAGCGGCTTGAAACTCGCCGAGGCAGGCTTTGTAACAGGGAGCTGTCCCCGGGTCCCTGAGCAGCTTCGGTCAGGTAGAGCTGGTCTCTCACCGCAGGGGCCGGCTGGAGCTCTGCAGTGGTGGGAAATGCCGACCTGCTCAGGCCTCCTCCTCCCTCTGGGGTCAGTTTGACTGTTATGTCCCTTATCCATCCTCCGTCTCCCCTCGATCGGGAGTCTCATCCTCTCGAATCACTATTCATCTTTGCTTTCAGTCAGCTGAAACTTTTGGATGCGAGGAGCTGAATCCCACATGGAACTGGTTCAGGAAAAACAGTGGGAACGTTAGATGAGAATAACACAAGGATTCGCGTGGACTTCAGGCACAGGTGAATCTAGGCGTCTGAATGATGTCATCAGAAGTCTCTCTACTGACACTATTGCTTTCCTATATGTTGGCCTCATTGTTAGGCCGTCTCTCTACTCGTAGGAGAAAGATGGAGCCAGCAGCTGCACCCACATCCCTCCAGTAGCAAATTCAAAAGAAAACTAAATGCCTTGTTCCCCAGAGTTCCAATAAAAGCCCCAGGACTGCTCCCTCCTGGCTGCCCCACTCTCAAGCCATCACTGGGACACGAGATGCTCTGGTTGCCCACAGTCACACCATCATTCACTGTGAGGTGAAAGTGGCCTGCATGTGCCCTCCCCCCTCCCACGCCCTCAGGGCCTCAGAGGACAGCTCTGACTGGGAGGAAGGACACACAGAGAGAGAGGCCCACGGAGTCTTGTCCTCACTGTAGGGTAACACAGGTTGCGCACCAAGCAAAGCTTGGAATTGGGTGGCTTGGGGTTTAAAAATGACACAGAACTGGACTTTTTAAGGCCTGGAAGAGAGGGCAATTCATTTATTATCTAGAGGCCCGCGTGTGGTCTGTGAAAAATGTGGCCTCAGTTGCCAAAGGATCCAGCCTCAAATTGCTCACTTTTCTGCCACTTGCAAGCTGTGTGAGCTGGGGAGGGCACTAAACCTCCCAGAGCCTCGGTCTCTTCTTCTGTGAAATGGGGATCACGTGGCCCCTGCCACTGTGGTGGTGGTGGTAGGGGGTGTGAAGCGTTCTGATTGGTCAGTCCTGAGCCCCTCCCCTCCCTGAAGCCCCCAGGGTGTGGATTTTTCAAAGGGAAGTCCAAGTGCGGCTACCTGGGTGGTGTACCATGACTCCGGAAGTTGAGGCAGGAGGATTACAAGTTTGAGGCCAGCCCCAGCAACTCAGTGAGGCCCTAAGCAACTTAACAAGACCCTGTCTCTAAACAAAAAATAAAAGGACTGGGGATGGGGCTCAATGGTAGAGTGCTCAGGATTGAGTCCCCAGTTCCAAAAATAAAATAAAACAGGGTGAAGGGGAAGGAGCAGACACCAGAGTCCTGCGCACCCTGCAGCTACCTGCCCAGACTCTCATGGTCTCCTGGCCGGCCCAGCACCCAGCAGCAGCCAGACAGGCCATAAAGAGGTGGCTGATTGGCAAATGCTAATAAATAGCCAAGTCTCCGGGTAATGACTATTATCAGAGTCTCGGGGGTGAATCTTTGCCCCTGGGTGGAGCCTGGACCTCTCTAGGAAGGAAAAACAAGCCTGTGAGTCAGACAGATCTGAGTTCATCCCAACACTCTCACTCACTCACTCACTTGTTCATTTATTCACTTAAAAAAAAATATGATGAGGCTCTATGATGTGCACAGCTATGAGTCAGAAAAAAAACCCTGTCTCCTGGATCTGACATTCTGGGGAAGGCAGGGAGGGAAGAAGGAGACAGATGATAAACAAGTGAACAAAGCAATAAATGAGATCATGCCAGAAAACACTGGGAAGTGTGGGGGGGGGGGGGGGGGGGGGGAACGTGGCTCAGTAGCAAGGAGCCGGGTAGCTGAGTTGCAGCGGTTCTGTTAGGAAAGCCTTTTTGAGGAGATGACATCTGATTTGAGACCAGAATCACAAGACACAGCCACAAGACTCTGCTCTAAGAAGCAGAGATGTCAAGTGCAAAGGCCCTGAGGTGGCTCCCTCCAAGAACTGACAGGAAGTCACTGTGAATAGCTGTGCAAAGTCAGATACTTAGCCTCTATGAGCCACTGGAAAGTGAAGAATGGCCATAGCCACCCCTGTGAGGTTTCAGTGAGGACTTGATCAGGCAACAGCTGCAAGAAAGCTGCCGATGTGCGTGGCAGACAGTAAGTGTTCAATAAACACCAGCTATTCATTTGAACAGTAGAAAAATTTTTTGTTTTGCTTTGTTTTTTCATTCCTGGAAATGAAACCCAGGACCTTCTGCATGTTCTACAACCTCTATTAATTTGAGGAGGAAGCAATGAGTCTGGAGAGTCAGTAGGGTCAGGAAAAGGAGATTTTCTGGTTAATCCTTCCAGTATCTAACTTCAGGATATAGTATGAGCAGAGTCCTAGTAAAGTAATTCTGAACATGCCTCTGGGGCACCCTGGATACCAATAATAGTAATTAGCATTATTTTAATAGCTGCCGGTTTTCCTTGAGCACCTACATGCACCCTGGCCCTAACACTGAAGTCCCTCTGCCTCTGGGACAGGCTCTATTATTAACACCCTCATTTTTAGATTTTATTTTTTATTTTTATTTTTAATTTTTTTAGTTTTATTTACTTATTTATTTGGGTACTGGGATTGAACCCAGGGGTGTTTTACCAAGGAGCTGAACCCCCAGCCCTTTCTATCTTTTATTTTAGGACAGGGTCTTGCTAAATTGCTGAGGCTGGACTTGAATTTGCCATCCTCCTGCCTCAGCCTCCTGAGTCTCTGGGATTGCGGGCTTTCGACGAGGCACCTGGCTGCATCCTCATTTTACAGGGAACAAAAGCTGAAGCTCAGAGCCAATGGTCACAGAGCCTGGGCCGGAAGCCAGGAGGCCAGCCCTGGGCCCGCGGCCACCTACCTGGGACCTTTGCCCATTGCTCCACTTTGCGGGCAGAAGGCTCTTTGGCCTCACCTCGCACCGACACGGTTCTCCCAGGGAGGGTTGCGGGGTGGGGAAGGAGGAGGAAATCCCTGGCTCCCTGCGCCCTTCCACTACCACCGACCAGGGACTGGGGAAACCGGGCTGGAGTGGCTTCCTAAAGGCAGCGGGAGGCGGGGCCGGGGCGGGGCTGTGGGCGGGGCCGGGGCCGGGCCGGGGCGGGGCTGTGGGCGGGGCCGGGGCGGGGCGGGGCTGTGGGCGGTCCGGGGCGGGGCCGGGGCTGTGGGCGGGGCCCGGCGGCTTAACTGCGGTGCCACCCATCACCTTGAGCTGCAGCGCCCAGCAGGACGCTCCCAGCTCAGTCCCAGGCACAGCGCAGCGTCATGAAGTGTCCTCCGGACACCCGCTCCGGTCACAGCCCTGCCTGGAAGAAGCTGCTTCTAATAGGTGAGTGAGAGAAATCGATTCCCCATGGGTTGGGGACAAGGGGGGACATCCCCAGGAAGAGTCTCCGTACAGTCAACGTCACCCTGCTCTGGTCAATTTAAAGACCAGGCAGCCAGTTCACAGCGCTCTTGAACCACACCCCCTCCAGCCCAACCGGCGACACTACAGACCCCTTTACCAAGGAGGACAGTGAGGCACTGAGTGGGGACAGAGCACCTACTCCAGACCACAGGGGCTGGCCGATGGCACCACCGGAATCCAGAATCCCAGCCCAGACCCTTTCCACCAGAGCACCCTGTCTCACCGCAGCTGTCCACGAGCCAATGAAACAATAAGAATAATAAACTATAGCAGTAACGGTGATAAGCGGTCACTGTACCTGAGTACGTCGACGGCCAGCCCCTTCTGCGGCTTTCCAGGCAGAAATATAACCCCTCCGGGCAGGGGCCGTATGATCCCCATTTCACAGAAGAAGAGACCGAGGTTCAGGGAGGTTTAGTGAGTGCCGTCCCCAGCTCACACAGCTTGGAAGTGGCAGAAAAGTGAGTAATCTGAGGCTGGATCCTTTGGCGACTGAGACCACATTTTGCAGAGACCACACGCGGGCCTCTAGATAATAAATGAGTTGCCCTCTCTTCCAGGCCTTAAAAAGTCCAGATCTGTGTCATTTTTAAACCCCAAATCACCCAATTTCAAGATTTGCTGGGTCCCCAGTTCAGCCTGTGAGGACAAGACTCTGTGGGCCTCTTCTCTCTGTGTCCTTCCCCCGAGTCAGAGCTGTCCTCGGGGACCCTGAGGCTGTGGGCAGGGAGGAAGGAATGCGCAGGCCATGTGCATCCCGCCTGTCCCCGTGAGCTTCACCTACCCTGTCCTTCATCTGGGGACGTACAGGTTGAGTCCCCTTCTCCCACACTCCAAGGTCTCCAAGAAGTTCCCTTCAAGCCACCCTCGCTCGGACATGCACCAGGTCTCCTCAAAGAAGCCTCACTGGGGGCCCTGCCGCCCCTCTCCTCCCCAGGAGCCCCAGTCCCCTCCCCAAGGCCTTGGGAGCTGGCAGGGCCATGAGGGAGCCCCACGGGGCTAGACCTCAGTTGGGGACAGAGGTTCCTGGTATGTTTTGTCCTCAGACTTTTTATTTTTAACTATTCTTGACTTTTAAGAAGACAAAGGATGAGATTTCAGAGCTGGAACCGCATAGATGATTCCAGAACTCTTACTTTAGAGAAACGCGGTTATTTAAATAGCACTAAAAAGAAGGAGATTAAGAAAGAGAGCCAGATGCTCATAGACATGGTCAAGCCGGGAGACAACTCGCATTCGGTATCATGAGTAGGTGCGGAAGGAACGCGGGTCCAATGCCAATCAGCTGTGCCACTGGGCAAAACAGGGGCCAGCCGACCGCACCCCTCGCTAAGGATGGAACCCAGGGCCTCACACAGCTTACAGGTAAGGCTCGACCACTGAGCTCCGTCCCCAGCCCTTTTTAGTTTTTGAGACAGGATCTCACTGAGTTGCCCAGGCTGGCCTCTAATTTGCCATCCTCCTGCCTCAGCCTCCTGAGCAGCTGGGATTATAGGGGTGCCCCATGGTGCCCAGCCCAGGATTTCTTTGGGGGGTAATGAAAATGTTCTAAAATTGATTGTGATGATGTTTGTACAATCCTCAAGGGAAATGTGCCTCCCCAAATGGTCACCTTTGAGCACTAGAATGCAGGTGGTGGGGATATGCAAAGCCCCTCAGTTGCACACTTGAATTGTTGATGCAAAGAGTGGATTCTAAGTGTTCTGGTCACAGGCTGTGAAGTCATGCATGTGGGAATTGGCTCAGTTGAGTCATTCCACAATGGAGAAATATTTTAAAACGCCAAGTGGTACACCATAAATATATAAATTTGTACTCGCCAATTAAAATAATTAATTAACCTTTAGAAAGAAAAGACGATGTTACCGCTTATCAGATATCATTCCATCATGCTTCTAAACGCCATACCGCACACTGGTGTATAACCCGTTGAGATTTCAAAATGATGAACATGTGGGGCTGAGTGAATGATATGTCCTATGGATTCTGCATCAACAAAACTATAGATTATATATAGCTACATATATGTGCCAATGTATTTTTGAAAAGTCTCAAAGCAAGGTACAGAAAAGCAGAGGAAGCAAAGTCGCAGAGAGGAGGCACAGGTGACGGGTCAGGTCCTGGTGATTTGCAGCTGAGCTGAGGAGAGGGTGGTAGGTTGCCTCAGGCCTCCTCACTGGGCATGAGAATGAGAAATGGGTGGTGGACCCTTTAAGAGGTGGGGCCTAGTGGGGAATGATTACATCATGGGAGCATCATCCTTCCATGTGATGCCCATGTCTGGGGAGCAGGGAGGAGTGGGTGAGGTCTCCTACGACTGGATTCGTTCTGTCAAGAGCAGGTTGTGAGCTGGGTGTGGTAGCTCATGCCTGTCATTCCAGCAGCTCAGGAGGCTGAGACAGGAAGATCACAAGTTTGAGGCCAGCCTCAGCAAGACCTTAGCAAGATCCTGTCTCAAAAGAGAAAATAAAAAGGGCTGAGGAGATGGCTCAGTCGTACAGCACTCCCAAGTTCAATCTCCAGTACCAATTAAAAAAAAAAAAAAAGAAAGAAAAGAAAAGTGGGTTGTCATAAAACAAATCCACCCTGTGTGCTTGGCCCCTTCTGCATATGGAGGTTCCCTTTGTTTCTCCACCACATTGCAACACAGCCAAGGAGCCCCCTCACCAGTGTGGAACCTTGTTGTTTGGACTTTCCAGCCACCAGAACCAAATAAACCTCTTATCTTTATAAAGCACTAGCCTCGGGTATTTTGTGATAGCAACACAAGACAGACTAAGACAGACCCCAAGTCTGAGACTCAAGCCTGCTGTGCCTTGGTTTCCCTGCCTATAAAACAGACTGTCACACCTATGACATCAGACACAGCTGTCTGACATTCCCTGACTCTGGTTTCTTATCTGTCATGGGGTATAATAGTCGTAGCAATCAGGGCTGAGGCAAGAAACAGACGGTCTAATGCGAGGGAGAGAGGAGTCACCCACGGGCAGAAGCCAGCCAGCAGCAACAGGCCAGGGGACCCCAGGCCGTCGCCCAGGGAAGTCAGCCTTTTGGGAAGCAGAGCAGAGAAAGGTGCTGGCCCCGTGACCGTGGCACGGCAGTGCTGGGTGCTTTGCGGGGTGGCTTCAAGGACGGCTGGATTGTGACCCGTGTGGCACCAGGGACCTTGTCTAGCTCTGATGGTTGTGCAGCGCCATCGCCAGCCCGTGTGGGCAGCATCTCACTGTGTCCCCGTCCCTCCTCCCCACCTCAAGGCACCCTGCTCGCCTGCAGCACCTGTTCTGCATCCCTGGAGCTGCCCCTGGCAGAGGGAGGCGGTGGCCGCCCGCCTGTCCCCGGGAGCCCCGATGGCCTCCGCACCGCTTCACGGTTCCCAGGGCGCGAGGCCCAGCCGGCAGCCGTGGTCTCTCCCGAGGGCCTCCGAGGACCGGCTCACATGGGCAGGGAGTGGCTGGGCTCCCGGGGCCCCCTGCTCATCACCAATGTGACAGATGCGGACAGCGATGCCACGGTGCTGGGAACCAGCAGGGGACAGGGACGCTCCAACAGTGAGTGCAGCCCCAGGGCAGGGGGCGGGTTGCGAGGTGACAGCTGGCCGTGCCTGATGCCCTGATGGTGTTTCTGTTCGTGTTTAAATGCTGATCACACCTTCTAGACGGCTCCACCTCCCACGGGCAGCCGACAAGCCATGAGTGGCACTTGGCTCACGGAGGACCCCAGGGCCGGTGGCTGTCTTGGTGGAGGTCACGCCTCCCGTTGCTGGGCGCCCTCTCCTGCTCCGAGCTCAGCCGGGCACCGCCTCCTCCAGGAAGCCCTCCAGGAGCCCCTGGCTGTGCCCCGGTCCTTTTCACTTCTCACACTGCGCTCAAGGTGGACCTGGGCTCTGGGTGGAGGTCCCAGCATGTGCCACAATGTCAGGCGGCCCAAGTTCAAACCCCAGATGTATCCCTCTCCGTCCCTGAGGCCTGGCCCCAGGATCCCCAGATCTCAAAGCCCTTTCCCTGAAAAATCGTGGAAAGGGAACGGGGCTCCTTCGCCGGTGGATGGATGAGTGCAGCCTCCGCGGCGGGCAGAAGCGCCAGCCTCCCTGAGCGGCCTCCACCCGGTGGCCTTGCTCCCTGTTCCCACAGACAGCCCCAGGCAAGTGCAGCTGTGGACATCCCCCAGCACCGTCCGGGGCGTCATCTACAGCGACCTCAACTTCTCGGTGATCATGGCATGGACGGTCACAATGGACCCCGAGCCCGAGCTGACCTGGACCCTCGACGGGAGGCTCTGTGGCACCGGAGAGAAGCTGTTCATCCGGCGACTGTCCCGGGAGCTGCTGGGCACCTACGTGTGCACGGGCAGGAACAGCCAGCAGCTGCTGTCCTCCTACCCTGTGACAGTCTCGCTGCCACCTGAGCCACGTGAGTCCCCCCCACCCAGGACCCCTGCTGCACTCCGGCTGGTCTGCGGCGGACTTCAGGGCTCTCCTGAGCACCTTCCAGAAGCCTGGGAGGCCCCTCCTTTTTTTTTCTGGATCAGGGATTGAATCCTTGAATCCAGGGGCGCTTAATCTCGGAGCCCCCTCTCCAGCCCTTTTTACTTTTTATTTTGAGACAGATTCTTGCTAAGTTGCTGAGGCTAGCCTCAAATTTGAGATCCTCCAGCCTCAGCCTCCCAAGCCGCTGAGGTTACAAGTGTGCACCTCCGCGCCCGGCTCTGTGAGACCCTTTCTAGCCAAAGTGTCGTCTGTCCTTCCCTCCAGCAGGCCAGCTGTGGCTGAGGCTGAAAGAGGCTGACGCTGATGAAAGCCCAGGACAGGATCTGCACCGGGTCCCAGCTCCAGCCCTCTCTCCCCTCGGCGCCCCAGCACGCGCCTGCGAAGCGGATAGACAGACAGACAGATAGACAGATAGAAAGAATAGATAAATAAGTAAAAAAAAATAAGTTTGAAAAGAGAAAAGTTAAAGACCCTGTGGCTTCCAGCTGGGGGGTGGGGGCCAGGAAGCGGCGACCGCTGGGGAGGAGCTTGGCAGAGGCCGGGTGGGTGGAGGCCGGGTCCCGGGTGACCCAGAGGTGGAAGACGGGAGTGGGAATGTGCGGGAGGGCGGGCAGCTCTGCACCCTGGCTCCTCCCTGGTCCCCAGAAGTCGACGTGGAGCCCACTCCTGCGTGGCCCGTTCGGCACAACCCCGGCCTGACCCTGACAGGGGCATCTGCCATCGGGCTCATCGTGGCGGCCAGCGTGGGCGGTGCGACGCTGCTCGCCCTCGCGGTCTTCTTCTGCAGGAAGAACCTATGGTACGGCTGTCCCTTCCCTGACCACTGGGCCCGTCCACTTGGCCCCCACCACATACAGAGCTCCCTCTGCATAGAGACAGACCTAAACAGCCGGCTGTGGCGGTGCCCACCTTGGATCCCAGTGACTAGGGAGGCTGAGGCAGGAGGATCACAGGTTGGACACCAGCCTCAGCAACTTAGGGAGGCCCTAAGCAAGTTAATGAGACCCTGTCTCAAAAATTTTAAAAAAATAATAAAAATAAAAAGGGCTGGGGATGTGGCTCAGGGGTAAGAGCACATCAGGGTTAAATCCCTGGTGCTAAAAAAAGAAAGAAAAAAGAAGGAGCCAAGGACTCCATCAGAGAGGGTCACCCTGACCTCCCATGTGCCCTGCTGCTTCATCAGTTCAGGAAGCAACATCAGGCAACAGAGAGGCGCTGGAGCTGGGTGCCTGGGCTCCACCAGGTAGACACTTACCCTGTGCCTCAGTTGGCCAATCTGCAAAGTGGGACCAGAATAAAAGCACCCACCACCCAGGGTTGATGTGAAGAGGGCTGGATCTCACAGCACCTGAAGCAGTGCCAGGGACCCGGAGGGGCTGCCCGGTCCCCTCGTCGTACCTACCTCAGCCCACCCTGTGCCGGGGGCTGCGGTCCCAGGGGATTAAGCATGAAGAGTCCCTCGGGGACCCCGTGTCCCGCTCGGGGATGCGCGTGATACCCACGTTGAGCAAGGAAGACCTGGAGAGTGGGTCAGATGAGGTTGAGTGGCCCGGAGGGAAGGCCTGGAGGGGGACAGGGAGTGTGGGGGCCGGTGCCACTCATCCAGCAGGGAAGGAGCCACGTGGGGACCTTCCGCCGAGGTCACTGAACACTGCTGAAGACGCGGGCCTCAAGTCGGGTCGCACCAGGGCTAGGGCTTCAGGTCTGACGGTGACAGTGACTCTCCCTCTGTCCCCCTGTCTTCATCCCAGCACTGACTGACAGAGGTGATGAGCGTGCAGCTGGCCCGTGACCTCGGGGAGGTGAAAGGAAATCCTGGCTCGGGGAACAGGACAAGCTCCTGAGCAGGGGGTCCTCGGGGACCTCCTCCCTCCTGGTTCCCTGATGATTTGCCGAGAGCCCAGGACTGCTCCTCTCTGTCCTGCCAACTGCCCGGGCCCCGACCGTCCAGCTCACCAAGCCCTTGAAAGCTACCTAAGCAGGCCGTCTGTGTTTCTTCCACATTTGGAGCTGCAAGTAAAAGAAACTCACTAACAGAACCCCCCAAAACAGGGGGGGATGCCAGATACTGTGGCCTGTCATCCCAGCGGCTCAGGAGGCTGAGGCAGGAGGATCACAAGTTCAAAGCCAGCCTCAGCAACTTAGTAAGGCCCTAAGCAACTCAGCAAGACACTGTCTCTAAATAAAGTATTTTAAAAGGGCTGGGGTGTGGCTCAGTGGCTAAGAGTCCCTGGTTTTAATCCCTGGTACCAAAAAAAAAGGGGTGGGGTTAAAGTTTGGGGTGCAGCTAAGGGACAGAGTGCTTGGCTAGCATGCATGTGGCCCTGAGTTCCAGTGTCAGCACTGCAAAATAAATAAACAAACAAATAAATAAAAATAAATGTAAAGGAAGACTTTAATATTAGGATCCAGGAGGATTTCTAAGAATCCTAGGTGTATCCGTCAGCATCTGCTAGGTAACAAATGACCCCCAAAATAAAGCAACTTGAAAACAACCATTTATTTAATCACAATTCTGTGGGCGGTCGGTCAGTTTGGGCTGAGCTCTGCTGGGCAGTTCTTCTGGATGCTGCCGGGCTTGTTCCTGCGTCTACAGTCAGGTGATGGGCTGCCTAGAGCTATCGGGACTAGGACAGCCTCCACTGAGGCACCGACCTCAGGCCTCTCCCATGTGGACTTGCCCTCCAGCAGGTGACCCAAGCTCATTCCCGTGACAGAGTCAGGGCTCCAAGGTGGGGGAGCAGGTGCTGCAGGGACTCTCGAGGTCCAAGCTCAGAACTGGCACACGATCATTCCCGCCACATTCTGCTGGTCAAAGCAAGTCACTGGCCAGTCCATTGCAGGGGTGAGGAGACCAACTCCACCTGTTGCTGAGAGGGGTTGAATGCGTGGCCATTTTGGCAATCTGCCACCACCTGAGGCAGAAGTGCGTGGCTGCTGCTCTCAGCCTGTCACCGCCGCGCCTCTGTCCCCTTCTCCAGGACACGGGCTTCCCATTGCGCGCCCTCTGTCTCCGCACGAGGGTGTCGCACCGTCTCCATCCACGTGGGGAGAGACCTTCCGTCCCTAACACCTGTGTTCAAGGGAGCAGCCCAGCTCAGCCGCCCGGTCCCTGCTTCCAAAGCCCGGGAGGAGCATCTGATGGTCCCGCGCTGCCCTTGGTTCCGTCGCCATGGCCGTGGGGCCGCACACAGCGCCAGCTGATGTCCAGGTCAGCCCTTCTGTGCGGCTCCTAGAGCTGGGGGACTTCGCTCATCGGCTGGGCAGATCCTGAAATATGTCTTATGTACATTGAGGTCGTTTTTGCTCCTTAAAAAAAAAAAAAGAAACTTTCCCAATGCAGAGAAGATGGGGAGGTGGCCACAGCCCCCAGAAATCCATGGCACATATAGAAATCAGATGGAAATTAGACAGGGAGGGGACTGGTCTCACCAGCGAAGCCTCACAGATGGCAGGCATCGGGGACATCATCGTCGATGACCCTTGTGTGCCCAGGTCCAGCCCCGGCTGGGGGGAGTGGGTTCCAGGGGTCCTGGAGGAGGAGTGGCATCCGTGAAAGAAGAAGAGTTGGTGACAGGTTGTAAGTTAGGAGCCGCCTCCAGAAGACATCTCCCTGCCCCTGGAGGGACCTTTATTTTTGTACCTTTCTTACAGGTGTTTTTTCAGGTAGTTAATGGATAGCTTCACAGCCCAAAACTTTTTGATTTACATAATTTTCAAGAGTTACAATCTCTCCTGACATACATTGATTACCTAGATATTGAGTACATTGTTCAAAATATTCTTCTGTAACCTTAGACAATCACGATTCACCTTTTACGTTCACTTCTCAATCACTAGGTGCTAGGCGACGCAGCTAGACTACACGACTCCTGACCTATTATGCACTTCTAACTTTAAAGCATACCTATAATTATTTCATTAACCTTTAACTTTAAAGCGTACTTATGATTATTGGTGAGCGTTCTTACTTCTAAACTAAAATCCCAGTAAAACACACTTAAAGTAGTGAAAGTCTATATTTAAAAGCCTACCACTCTGAAGTGCCTCTAAAATAGATCTACGTTAACTTTACATTACTCTGTTTTTAATTTCCAAGGTAATCTCCTTTCTCCGTGTGACCTAATCAACTGCTTTCTTAAAGAACTTCCTTGATCTTTGGTCAACGCACACCAATTCCTGTGTCTTTGTAAACTTTAACAGGCTTGGCACCTCGACCCACTTGTCATTAATATTAACTATGTGTTTTCCAGTTTCATCCTAAGTTTCTGCTTAAGGCAAAGGAGGGTCTCTTGGTTGGGGAATGTATTTTTATTAGCCTCTTGTCCTCGGGGGGATCCCAGAAGCTACACAGGGTGGTCCTTGTACTGTGGGCACAGCATCTGTTTCTCTGTAGCTAGGAGTTGCACAGGTTGTGGCTTTAGGATGGGGTGGGGGGGGCTAGTGTAAATTGTTAACCATGGGATAAATATTTCTCGTTGTTCAGGTTGGGGAATACACCATGGTCTGCATCCTGGGAGACACTGAAACGCACCTCAGGGCCTGTCTCCACTGCATCCTTAGTCTCATTCTGGGAATTTTCCTGCAATCTCACGCAACTCGTACTCTTATTATTGACTGACGCACGCCCTGTTGTCCAAACAGAGCACTTGACATTCCCGATGGCTCCGGTTTCCAGGTGGTGGGCCCTGCCCAGCACCCCCCACCTGTGACGCTGTCAGACAGCGGGGGCAGGACCCTTCACCACTTGTGCGGATCTATCATCCGAGAGCATTCGGTGCTTCCCCGACCAACGCGAAGCCCCTGACACAGGAAATCGATTAGCAATCACTGTCCCCACCTGAGCTCAAATCCTGTCCCTGAGGACGCTCCAGGGGAAGGCCACCACCTGGGCACCTGAAGTGACCCATGCAGTGTGCTTCCTTCCTGCGCCCACTGAGGACAGGAGGACGCAGCTCCATTTTTCAGACAAAGCCGGGGAGGCTCAGAGCAGTGGAGTGACTCGCCCAGGGTCACACAGGTGGAATGTGAAGCATGGTCACTGACCCGGGCCACCTGGCTCTGAAATTCTGTGTCCAATACTGCACTGTCCCGTGGCCCCCTCCCTGGAGCCAGGGCCCCCTTCCCCTTCTCTGTCAGGTAAATGGCATTGTGCTCAGGTATAGAGGACGAAAGTGAGGCTCAGAGAGGGAAGGCGACCTGACCAGTGTCACACAGCCTTGCATGATGCCAGGTCAAGTCTGCCCAATTCCACAGCCCGGCCTAGTCAGCACCTCCCAGTAGAACTTTGCACTGGTGGAAATGGTCTGGGTCCGTAGTCGTAGGTCACCTCCCAGACTAGTGCCCCTCGGTATGTGAACACTGCAACTGAGGAACTGGGCTTTTAAGCTTCTTTAACTCTAATTCATTTTAATTTTAATGCATAGAGGCACCTGTGGCTAGTGGCTATTGTATTAGACAACGCAGCTCAAAATCCTGATATTATTTCTTGACACTGGGGATTGAACTCAGGGGCACCCAACCACTGAGCCCCATCCCCAGGCCTATTTTGTGTTTTATTTAGAGACAGGGTCTCACTGAGTGGCTTAGGGCCTCGCTTTTGCTGAGGCTGGCTTTGAACTCCCGATCCTCCTTCCTCACCCTCCCAAGCCACTGGGATTCCAGGTGTGCACCACCGAACCCAGCTTCTAAATACTAATTTGCACAAACAGTAGTAGTAATAATCCCCAGCAGCCACAAGTGTCCTTGCCGACTCCGTGGCCGCCCTGGGAGGCCTTCCCTGGTCTGTCCGAGGGTCAGGACTTGCTGGAGAGCCCCTGGCATCCTTCCCACCTGAGTGTCCTGCTGAACCTCTTCCCTTCCTGCCCTTCCCTCTGTGGTCAAAGGAGAAGTCAGTTACTTCCTTCTGGGTGACAGTGGGGAGGGGACTGCCCCACAGCTCCAGAGCCTGGCTGCGTCCCAGAGGCGACACTGCAGACGCTGCCTCGTCCAGTCGTCCGCTGACCAACGCTCCGGCAATTCCCACTGCCCTTTAGAACAGCAGGCAAGGGGACACTGTGACAATCCCTCCATTGTCCCCTGGGAAAAACTTCAAATTTCCCCAGAGAGAACTTCCTGGCTACCCCGTTTGTAAATGTCACCCCTTGGTTACAGTCTCACTTACCAGACTGCATCATTAAGTCTTTGTGTGGACATTTGTTTCTCTTGTCCATTAGACGGCCAGCCCCGGGACTTCCGTCACACAAGAGGGGCTTCATGACGGTTGTTGAATGAATAAGTGAATGAGAGATGAGACCACGGCACCAGGGAACTGGGGCTCCTCGGGGGAGGTCATCTGAGGCTCCACCTTCCTGAGGATGCTACGCGGCCCAGATGCGGGATGGGGACAGCCTGAAGAAAGGCTCCCTGCCTTCCCTTGAGGACACGGGCTGTAGGTCATTCCTGTCACTTCCACTCACCTCCCATCACAGAACGTGGTCCTGTGGCCCCACAAGGTCCAACATGGCCTGTCCCTAACCTGCCGATGTCCCTCACCTCGTTCACACCACGCTCCACCTCCCAGCCACGCTGCCCTGACTCAGCCCCGGCTGACAGGTGCTGGTGCCTTCGCTCCGTGAGAAGGGACACCACATCCGTCCTGGTCCGGTGCAGGTAGCTGAGGGAGACTCTGCTCCCTGTGGCCATTCAGGGTCCAGGCTTCTCCCAGCCTGGTTTCTGCTCTCCTCTGGGCCACCTGAGACTGTGAGGACTCACCAGAGGCTCTGAGAGGGGTCGTTGAAGCGAATGCTAGGAACAGCCTGCCAGTCTCCCTCACTTCGGTACTTCGCGGGTTCTCTCTGACCACCGGGCATTTGCACCTGCTGTTCCTTCTGCTGGAATGCTGTCCTCTCCTCTCTTCACCCCATGCATCTCTACTTATTTAAAAATCCTATCTCGCTCTTGTTTGAGTTGCGTCCATCCAGCAAACATCTCCTCAAAACGGATCCAAAGTGGCCATTTTGGCCTGGTGCGGTGGTGCACGCTGTAATCCCGGCAGCTCGGGAGGCTGAGGCAGGAGGATCTCAAGTTCAAAGCCAGCCTCAGCAACTTACCGAGGCCCTAAGCAACTCAGGGAGACCCTGCCTCTAATGAGACATAAAAAAAGGGCTGGGGACGTTCTTCAGTACTTAAGTGCCCCTGGGTTCAGCCCCCGGTACCAAAAGAATAATGCTAATAATAATAATAACAAAACCGAGGGACACACTTGTGCATGCTGAGGAGGGGGAAGGACTGAGGGACATACAACATCAGAGACCAGGTCATGGCCAAAGCTGTTCATTCATTCAGGGACACACTTCCTGCAGTGGCTGATCTGGGGATGACAGGTGGCCAGCCCTCCGGGCCGCAGTTCCGCGGAGGAGGCAGGGCTGGGCCGACCCAGCAGGTCGCGGTCGGGGCTGGAATGCAGAGCCGCAGGTCTGGCCCCGGAGGGGGCCCTGGGGCGGGCAGGGGGCGGGGCGGCTGGACCACGTGACGGGGAACCTGGGAAGCCGCTGTTCCCGAGGGCGGTGCTCCGGCAGCCTCGAGGGCTCAGGAGTCCTTCTGTCCTGGTTCCCGGGGTCTGGAGGGTAGGCGCCCTAGGACGGGAAAGTGACCGCTTCCTAACGTGAGCGTCACTGCCCCAGCGCCACCAAGCTGGCAGCCCAGTGGGACTCAGCCCTGTCCCCACGGTGGGCAGGCTGGGGCCGGCCAGAGAGGGCGCTGCTCACCCTGGGGTCCCATCGGGCTTCCTGGAGGGCGGGGGGTGGGGGGGGGTGAGCAGCCACTAACGGGGCGCAGACGAGGGAGAAGGGTCCAGGACACGAGGACAGGATTCATCCAGAGGAAATTCCTCTGGAATTTCCAGGGCTGCGGGGGGCTGGGGGGAGTGGACGGCTGGATCCCTTGGGATGTCCGCCAGGTTCCAAGAATAGGGACTCTGTTCTGGTAGAAACCCACAGTCCACCCCAGGGTGTGGCCAATTAGTCATCAGATGGAGGAGGACTCTGTGTGTCACTTCCTCCCCCCACCCCCTACCCCTGCCATTGAGAAGACCTGGAATTTGGAGAACAACCCTGTGAGGTACCACACTGCACCCCAAAGGGACCGGGAAAGTGTGGGGGCTGTGGGACATGGGGCTGGGGGTGGCCACCTGGGGAGCCAGCCAGTCATGGAGGACCAGAAAGGGTGTGGTCACAGCCTCCTTCCCAGCTCTTTGTGCCTAGCCTCAGAGAATAGAGAATCCTTTATTCTCTGCACTCCCGGGTCCCTTTGGGGTGCAGTGTGGTGCCTCACAGGGTTGTTCTCCAAATTCTGTGCCTTCACCAGCACCGCCATCCACTCTCTGTCCCCTCCACAGCACCACCCAGGGAAGGGGACAGGGATCATCACTACACTTTCCATCTGAGGAATGTGAGAGTAAGCAATGGTGAGATCCCTCCCCTGCCTGAAACTCTCTATAGCTCCCTGCTACCCACAGAAATCGATTACTTAGGAGTAATGCAGGAGGTCTCCCAAGCCCCAAGACACCAATACCTCTTGTTGCCATTTGCTAAGCAGCAGCATAAGTATATTATTATTATTATTATTATTATTATTTTATTATTATTATTGGAATTGAACCCGGGGCACTCAACACGTTTCTAAGTAATTTATTTAGCCATCACAATGCATTTTTACTTCATGGATAAGAAAGAAAGAGGCAGGAAAAATGATACAGGTTGCTTAGGATTCCAGCTGTTCATCAGTGAAAACAGAATTTGAACCAAGGGAATCCCGGAGCCCCAATGTCACCTCTGGTCTTTGTCCTTCCCCTCTGCAGGCTTTCCTCCTTTCTCTCCCCACCCCCCACTAAGCCTTCCCACATAGACCCTTTTGGAAAAATCTCCACTTCTGAAATGTAAAGGAAAATGAACTTCAGTGACCATCATGAGCGTCCCTCAGCCTGAGCTTTGCACGGCGGCGATTTAGCAGTGTCTCCTAAGACCACAGAGATGCCCTCCCTGTGATCCAGAAGGCCAGTGTCTAGGAACGCAGGTGAGAGATACTATGGCACATCCAGGAAACGGAAGGGACATGGTTTTCCTGGATGGAACAGTTTGATAAAGATTGGAAACACCTGAATGTCCCTTCCAAGGAGGACAGGTTCAAAAATTATGGTGCTGTCTTAGAATACCTAGGAACAGGAGGTTTATAAAGAAGTTTATTTAGCTCACAGTTCTGGAGACAAGGACGTTCAAGAACAGCAGTCACATCTGCTTTGCTTCTGGCAAATCACAACCTAGGTGTCACACCACGTGCCAGAGAGCTCTGGCTTCTACAGCCATCGACCTGTTTACTCATCACCATTGATCTGTAAGTGGATTAATCCATTCACGTGGCAAAGCTCACATGATCAATCACCTCTCAAAGATCCCACCTCTACACACCATTAAAATGTCACGGAGGATCAAGTTTCCCACATGAGAAATTTGGAGAACACATTTCAACCACAGCAGGGCCTTCGTGTTCTGGCGACTGCACGGCTGTGACCGCATGAGCAGAGCGAGGACGGGGAGCCTCGGCGCCAAGGTAGCCAGGTAGGCTGCTGGGTGGAACCCAGAGGAGGGTGTCCGCTGCTGCTCCTTTCTGGGAATGACAGTGTCCCCACAGGAATGAGCTCTGGCAAAGGATCTCCCTCAGCCCTCTCCAGAAAAGGAGGAGACCCACGAAGCAGCCCCCAGTGCAGAGCCCGACTCCTTCTCCGTGGATGTGCGGCCCGGATGCTGGGATCACCTGGTCGTCGGCCACACACAGTGGTGGTTTAGGGTGGCGGCTGCTCCCTGTCTTCTGCCAGGATATGGGAGCGAAAGCAAGGCTTCCAGAAGGATCTTCCTCTAGGACAAGGCCGCACTAAGGGCCTGTGAATCAAGTAGTGGGAAGCCATCCCAAAGCACACACTGTTGATTTAAAGAGAGGGGGTTGCAGCCAGGCCCGGTGGCCCACCCCGTGATCCCAGCAACTCAGGAAGCTAAGGCAGGGGGTTCACAGGGTGGAGGCCGAGATCAGGACCATGGAACAAGAATGGGGCACCCAAAGAAGGTTTATTGGGGTGTGCTCTCGGGCGAGAGTCACTCGTCCCCAAAAGGGTGAGGGCGGGGGACGTCGGCCGGGAAAGGCAGGAACCATGCTCATAAGGGAAGCTGGAGGTGGGCAGGCCTCCGCCATCTAAACTGCAGCTGCCCACCGCAGGCTGGCCAGCCAGGTCTAGGGGACCGTGTCTGTCCAGGGTTGTCAGGGCCGATGTGGGGTGACGGGGCGACTGCTTCAGCGGGCGGGAACCGTGGTGGCTGGGGTCCGTTGTCATGTCAGCTTCTGATTGGCCATTGGTCTCTTCAGCCAGGGGGACAGTCCCCGCCCACAGCTGCCATGAGAGGGGGGAGGGAAGGCTGCCCACCCGACATCCCGACCTATGATGTCACAGGGCGCCGTGTCATCTGGCTGCTTCCTCCAGGGGCCTGGTCTAGGGGAGGCCAGGGGTTGGGGGCCGGTGGGAGGGGCTGGAGGAGCAGCTGATTCACCGCCACGTGGGAGACTTCGCTGATGCGGTTTCGGATAAATCTGAGGGGACAAGGAGCAGAAATTAGCAAGACACAGATCAGGGGGGCAGCCCACAATGGGACCAAACCAAGTGGCGGCCAGGGCAGAGCTCCACCAGCCTGGGAGGAGCGAGGTGGACCCTGAGATTCGGTTCTTCACTCAGCCGATGCAGCGTGTCCCTGTTTCCCTCTACTAGGCCGCTCCGTCGAGTAATGGCAACCTTCGTCCCCGAGAACAGACAGGTTCCTCCTCTGTCAGCGCTGAGTAGGTCTAGGGCCCGCCGCCTGTTTTGGAAAGTGACCAGCACAAGCCACGTTCTTTGTCTTTGGAGAGATGCCAGGGAGCGGGCAGAGGCTTCCATGCCAGCTGTGATGTTTCAAGCTCTTTAGTTGTGGTTAAGCTATGGCCCAATGCCCGGCTCCGATGCCCCAGGCCACCAGGGACGAGGTAAGGGAAATGCCTGGAAGAAAGGCAGCCCGTCCAGATCTGGTGGGTGGAGGCTCAGGGAGAGGAACTCCGCCTGCCCAGAGTGTCAGTGGAGGATCCAGGTGACAGGGTGCAGGAAGGAGCAGCAGTAGAGGAGTGGATGGCTTTCTCAGCACCCCGTCCCACCAAAGGAAGAATCCCGGGGTGCACGGACTGGGGAGGACCCCGCAGTGGTCACGCTGCACCTGGGGGCAGCTTGGGAGGCTCAGCAGGTGGAAAGGTTTTGCCGCTGCTGCAGGGGACTGTCAGAGAGGGGGATCCCCGACAGAGGCAGAGAGGTGACACCCCCGTGGGAATTGTTAAGGGGAAAGGTCAGAGGGACTGCCATTAAGGGGGATGATCCAGAGCAGCACACAGAAAGCAATCAGAAATACCACTGACCCTAGGAGTTGTAGCCCCTGACGCAGCCATGAAAACGGGTCCCCTTCTCTGCCTCGGGGGCCCCTAGTCGGTGAGTGAGGGCAGTTTCTTTCTGAGGATTTCTTTCAGGTTGGCAATCGCTGGTCCTGATGTCCAGGTCTCACCATCTAGGTCCCCTGTGCCTGGAAACGCCAGGTAGGGATGAGGCAGCACCGTTCAGGTCGGGGCACCTGTGGGAACAGATCCAGAGGAGGAGTGGGAGGCCCACAGGTGAGCTCAGGGGGTCCCACCAATGGGGTGAGCAGGACTTAGGGCTGGGCCAAGCCTGAGGCGAGAAACATGGTACCAAGGGGAGAGGCCTAGTATCTGGCTGATGTGGGGTGGTGAGACTCACCGTATGGGGTCCCGTCCAGCACGGTTGGAGTGACCGAGGAGGGAGTTCCTTTAAGAGGACAGAGTCTCCTGGTTGGAGTGGACCCTCAGAAGGTGATGGTCCATAAGTTCCCGGAGGAGGCTGCGGACCAAGGTGAGGTAAGGTAGGCGTGAGGCCAGGGGCGGGGGCTGGACGGGAAGGTTGTGGTCATCAGGGAGGGGCAGCCATAGAGCAGTTCGAAGGGCTGAGCCCTGTGGGGGCTCCAGGGCAGTTCGGATTCGGGTAAGAGCACGGGGAAGCAGATGGGGCCCGGAGATTGGAAGCTCGACGGAGAGTTTGTCGGGTGGTCCTTGAGGACCCAGGGGCCGCTCAGCCTTACCCGGGGACTGTGTCCTGTAAGGAACGTGGAGTCCCAGGAGCTGTTAGGCTGTCTGAGGCCTCTGGACTGTCTGAGGAGTGAAGGCAGTCACTGTGTGACTGGATGGACGTCGGGAGGCCGGACCTGGGGTGATCTGCTCAATGAGGACTGAGGCCACAGTGTCCGGGTCCCTCGGGAGGTCGGGAAGGCCCAGTCCATCCTGAGAAGGTGTCAGCCAGGGTAGTAGGTGTCAGAACTTTCCGTGTCTGGGCGTGTGAGTGAGATCTGCCTGCCAATCCTCACCTGGTTGGTGTCCTCGCACCTGATGAGGGGGGACCTTGGGTCGCAGGCCCCCTTGAGGTGTGAGGAGGACCATGTCGAGCTTGTGGAGTGGCCCTGTTGAGTGAAGTCAGCCTGCCGGGGAGGTAAGAGGGAGAGGGGGGTGTAAGGGCTGGGACCCCTGGATGAAGGGAGGAACCACTTCGTGGACTCAATGGAGATCCTGCACTAAGCCGCGTGCTCCTGACGGTGTGCGGACAGGTAGGACCCGAGTGTCGGAGTGTCGCAGGGAGAGTTTGTGGAATAAGGAGGCCTCGATCCAGGAGCCGCTCGATGACGGGCTGGAGTCCCCTGCGGTGAGGGAGAGAAAGGGGACATGGAGGTCTCGAGGGGAACTTAGAGGCGGGCTTCAGCTGAATCTGCACTGGTTGGTGGTGGTTGCTCTTCCAGTTTGGAGGTGCCCCAGACTTGGGGGGCTGCGAGGCCTGGTGGGAGGGGGTGAATGGGGAGGGGGGAGGGGGTGTCCGTAGCGGACTGAATCAAGGGGAGGAGGAGCTGGGAGTAGGGTCCTGGGGTGAGAGCTGGAGGGGGGCCCCCAGAGCTGAGAACACCTGGTCCTAGGAGGGGAAGTGGACAGGAAGGGTCACTGAGAAGCCCTGGGTAAGGGGACGTCCCTCTAGGGAGTGCGTCAGAGTGGCTGTTTTATTTGGGAAGCAGGATGTTCCGTCTGTCCCCATGACCAAGATCTGGGAGGGATAGAAAGGCCCGGGGTGGACAGGCAAGACAGAATAGGTGGCCCGTGTCCACAGGAAGGTGATGGCCTTACCCGCTACCTGGAGCGGTACCCTGGGCTCAGCGAGGGTCATCAGCCAGTCCCAGAAGCCCAAGAGAAGGGGCTGCCTGTCCGGCCATACCCGGATGTTGAGGCTCTGGAGTGGGTCCAACCAGGGGACAGTTACTCTTCCAATGTTGTCCCAGCTGCTTGGCACTGGGGCACAGCCGAGAGGGGGACCACGAGTTAGGGCACTGGGTGGGGGGGCCAGTGGCCTTCTTGTCTGCATTTGAAGCAGGCCCTGGGTGGGGCAGATTTCTGCAAACCCCTGGGAGCCCCCGCCGGGGGCCAGGGTGGCCTCAGAGCTGCCCCAGGGCTTCTGTCTGGAGGCCACCCTTTTCTGTGAGCGGCCTGCCAGCTGAGTTCGGCTGATTCCTCACGGGCACCGTGAGCTTTAAAGGCCATTCTCACCAGATCTCGGGTGGGGCTTGGGGACCATCCTCAGCCCACTTTAGCTTTTTTCTAATATGGGGAGCTGACTGGATGATAAATGAGTGGCCAGAATGGTCACCCCAGAGGGAGATTCAGGGTCTAATCTAGTTCAGAGAGCGAGGGCCTCCGTTAGGCAGGTAAGGGACGTTGCAGGGCTCTCACAGGCCCTGAGTGACTTCAGTTAGTTTATTAAAATTAACAACCTTATTAGAAACTGCCTGCCTGCCTGCCTGCCAGCAGACGCGGTATCATCTGGGCACAACGGCGTCGGCCCTCTTCTCCATTTTGATAGTCCCAACCAGGATAGGTGTCGGGGACCACTGCCACGCCTGTAGGCACGGTGTCATCGGTCAAATGAACCTGGTCGGCATGGTCCTGTGCAGCTATGTGGACTCGAGTACATTCATCCTGGGTAAGAGTGGAGGCGAGGGTGACATGGACATATGCCACGTAAGGCCACAGGCTTGGGAAAGGCACTTAAATTCTTTGCCGTAGGCAGTGGGTCAGCAGAAAGGGAGCCTAGGTGTTTCTCAATTTGGGAGAGGTCTTCTGGGGAAAAGGGACATGAACCCGGACGATGCCCTCAGATCCTGCCACCTGGCAGAGAGGACAGAGAAGTTCAGCAACAAATGATGCCCCAGTACTGGATATTCCGTCCTCTGTGATGTCCTCAGAGCCAAAGGCTTCCTAGGACCAAAGACTCTTTCACCTCCCAAGATGAAGGTGGGAGGTTTGTCCCGAGACCAGAGCCACATCTCAGATGAGAACTCTCCAGATGCCCCTGCAAGGGACTAAGGACCTGCCCATGTTGTCCAGAGGGAAACACCTGAGGGAGTCAAGGCCGTTTTGTGTGCCAGCCTTTCTCCACCCCAGAGCTCATAAGCTGGAAAAATCATGCTCCCTCCTACACGGAGAAACCCTGGGCCAGGACTGATCTGGTGCAGCCCATTATCCAGACCTAGGACGGGGCCCAACCAAGAAGAAGGTCTAAAGGTAAAGAGATGTCAAGAGGCCTCAGAGACCTGGGATGGGACTGACTGGGGAGGAGCCGGGGCGGAGGGTGGTCTCACTGGGGGGGGGGGGGGGGGGTCCGGGGAAGGGGGGGGGTGGGGCAGGAGGGTCTGCGGGTGGTGAGGAGAGTGTCTGGGGAGGTTCAGGGAGTGGAGAGGGTCAGGGTCAGGAGTGAAGTGGCACCCCTTTCTCCACAGAAAAGCCTGCTTCACCATGGCTAATTTTAGGATGTCAGCAAAAGAGTCCATCGTAGATAAACTTCCCATTTTCCTGTCGCCCTGTTTACTTGGCCACTGGCCAGGAAGATACCAGCCCTCCAGGTGCTGGACACCCCGTCACTAGTTTTTCACAAACATGTATCCACTATAGTACTTTGAAGAAATGTGCAAACAAGGCCTCTGACCTTGGGCTGGGCTTCACAGAGATGTCTACATTTTTAAGATAAGTTACAACTGGTCTCCATGGTAACAGCTGGCAGGGGGAGGAAGGAGAGGGGAGGAGAAGCTCCCCCCTTCTCAGGTGTTGTCCTTGAAGGGTTAACTTGCCCAGAACAGTGAGAGAAAAAGCTGCTTTTATGTGAACTTCTGCAGACTGGGAACTTCTGAGCCCCTCCCCTTACACGCTGGGTATAAAACTCTGAAACTCCCTGAACTCGGGGTTCAGGGGATTGATTGACGACAGCAAAGGCTGTGCCCTCTGAACCTGGCTGCAGCCAAATAAAACTCTGTCCTGCTGTCTTCGGTGCCTTGCCTCGTTTGTCCCTACAACAGGAGCAGAGGGGACTTGGAAGGTTTCTTTAGCAAGGAGGACTTGGAAAGTGGAGCAGAGGAGCAGAAAGGGGGGAGCACGAGTCCCAAGAGGCCTGAACATAAGGAACCTCCAGCCACTTTTCCATCTGTCGGCAGAAATGGCCCCAATCAGTGAGGACTTTAAAATCAAAAGTCCCCTCAGGAGGCCACTTAGAGCCATTATCTAAAGTGTATTGTGGGATAGAAGAGGAGCCATTTACCGCATAAGTCCCAGTGAGTCCCAGCTTGGGAAAAAACTCCCCAAGGGAGTTTCGGGGTCCAGAGAGGACTCTGGGTTTCCCATGACGACCGACCCCGGGTGTGCAGGGAGGGAAACGGCAATTGCCTGCTCTGCTCCCCGAGAGCCAGGGCCTGGCCAGGGACGGAGAGGCTCCGCAGTCCACTGGGGGCCGGGTCGGGAGGGGAGTCTCTGCAATCGCAATCGGGAGGGAGTCAAAGATCAAAGAGAAAGGGACTCACCCCACGTTCCCGATCGGATGAGGGCGGGTGGTCTAGAGATCCCTGTTCCTTCGGGTGGCGGAGAGGAGCAGCCTCCACCCCAAGGGGAAGGCTTCAGCTCCTCCCGGGTCTCGGCACCAAATGTAAAGCAGAAAGGGCGCGAAATCAGGACCACAGAACAAGAGGAGGCCCCAAAAGAAGGTTTATTGGGGGCACTCCCGGGCAAGGGTCACCGGTCCCCAAAAGGGTGAGGGCCGGGGACGTCGGCCCGGGAAAGGCAGAAACCATGCTCATAAGGGAAGCTGGAGGGGGAGGGCCTTGGCCATCTAACCTGCAGCTGCCGACAGCAGGCTGGCCCTGGCCATTTCGGGTCTCCTTGTTCAGGTGGAAAGTCCCCCCCTACAGCCGCCATGGAAGGGGAGGGGAAGGGAAGCCTGCTGACCCCACAGAGGCCAGCCTCAGGAACTTAGCAAGACCCTGTCTCAAGAAGAAAGATAAAAAAAGGCTGTGGGTGTGGCTCGGTGATGATTTTTTCGATGTCAGCTTCTGCTAGATCTTGCTGCAGTAACAAACAAGCCCAGCATCTCTGGGACTCACATGATCAGTTCCTCTCCCACATTTCATGTGCACTGCAGGTCGGCCGGGGGTCTTTTCCATGTGACATCATCTGGGATCATGGCTGAAGGAGCAACACCCTCTGGGACAGGCAGTTATTGTGACTGAAGAAGAACCATGGATGAAGCAAGAACTTCTCAGGCTCAGAACTTCTGCTGGGAATCAGCTGACCTCACTTTAGCTCACATTCTGTTGCCTAAGCAAGTCACATGACGGTGCTTGCTGTCCGTTGGGGGGTGGAGCAGTGACCTCCTCCTGCAGGGAGAGCAGCAGATCACTGGGAACCATAAGACTATCCACAAACCTTCCCTGACCCCACCGTGGTATGACCTTCCGGAATCTTCCACCACCCACTCTTGGCTATATGCAAGAGAGAGCACTGAAGGATGGAGGCAGGAGAGCTAACAGGTCACCTGCAGAACCCCCGGGACAACCAGAGAACAGGACGGTGCTCCGCAGGGGGAACTGCCAGCTCCCCGAGGCTGCCCTGGACTGGATTGTCCCCAACCCCATCCCAGTGGACCAGACACAGGACCACCATGTTGCACATGCAGGGTTCCCCATGGACGAGGTGTGACTGGACTCCCTGTGGAGCCAGGTGATGAGGTGCCCTTCACCACTCACTCCCTCCACCAGGCCTGCCTAAGGGGTCATTCCCTTGCCAGGCTACCAGTTGGCACTGTCATCTCCAGAGGCAAGCTGATTGGTGAGACCTAGTCCACAGCCAGGCCGCTTGCTACAGGAAACACTAGAGCTGTGAGTTTGGGGACTTCCGCCTTGAAGGGAGGACATGAAGAGGAGAGTTTAAAATGTTGGGTAACCACAGAGGAAGTGTCCCCGAGCTGGGGTGGCAGTGAACTCCTGTAATCCCAGCCGCTCCAGAGGCTGAGGCAGGAGGACGCCAAGTTCGAGGTCAGTCTCTGCAACTTAGCGAGGCCCTAAGCAATTTAGCCAGACCCTGTCTCAAAATAAAAAATAAAAAGGGCTGAGGATGTGGCTCAGTGGTAAAGCACTTCCTGGGTTCAGTCCCCAGTACTGGGGGGGAAACTCTGCGGGTCCTTATGGTCTCAGAAGATTCAGACAGAGGCACCATGGCACAGGAACAAGACTCTAATGTTCAGGCACAAAGGAGGCAGTGCTTGGGGGACAGCAATCCCAGGCTGATTCAAACAAGGGACAAAAGTGTGCAGCTTCCACAGCATCTACAGGTAGGAGAGACGATGGGGTCTGTTGACGCCATCACAGGTAGGAGTGGGGTTTGGGCTGCACCTGAGCTCTTCAGGCCTGATGGAGGGAGGCAGGCTCATTATTCTGTGACTCAAGGTGCAATTTTTATTAAGCTGAAAAAGTCCATGAATCTCTAGGCTACTTTGGCGAATGAAGGTCTTACTCATGGTGCTTGCTACTGACCGAAAGAATTCCCCACGCAAAGACACTTCGCCGGGAGAATTCCAATTTTATTGCAAAAAGCTGTGTGCTTATATAGAACTAAGGGGGAGATGGTAGGGCTTAGATAAATGGCAGGCAACCCGTTTATTGGCAAGTTCTTTCAGATATCAGCTCCGGAGCCCAGGAATTAGTTCTCATTGTGGCTAAGGTTCCCCGCCAGCGAGATTTGAAATTGGCGCCGCCGGGAGAGTTCACACGGGCGGGAACTTTTCGCGCCACTGCAGAAAAGAAGAAAGTAGGAAGAAGAGGTGCTTAGGCGCCATGTTGGGGTTTTTCTCTGGGGTATGGCTGCCGTTTATACTTTTCCCAACACTGACCACCTGGAAATTGCCCCTTATCATCTGGGAAAGGTCATAAAATAATTTCAGAACAGGGCAGACCATTGTCCTGCCTCATGGGTTTGATTTTAATGGCCCTGCATTTCTGGGCTCTGGCTTCCTGCCGTCTCTGCTGGTCACACAGCCCTTGAAGGCTGAGCTGAATCCTCAACTTTCTGTTGTCTTAATTCCATAACCTTGAAAACTGGTTCTAATTCCTCTGGAGCCAGGTGATGAGGTGCCCTTCACCACTCACCTCCTCCACCAGACCTGCCTAAGGGGTCGTTCCCCATGCCGGGCTGCCAGTGTTGTTGAGCTGATGACCAGACAGAATCCTGGTTCTCAGAGGCATTTATTTGATGGAATCCTCCCTTGTCTGCTCACCCTGTCTTATTTTTCTCAGTGGCCTTTACCAGGTTCCAACAAAGCACCAGTCTATCTTATCTTTCTCTCTCTCTCTACCTCCCACCCCAGCATGGGACCTCCAGCGGGGCAGGGACATACTCCTGTGGTGTCTTCAGCACCTGGGATAGATCCCAATACATAGTAGGTGTTCAATAAATCTGTGTTGACCAGATGAAGGCAAGCAACAAAAGACCCAGGCTGGAGGAATCCACAGAGCTGTGGGAGCCAAAGGAGGGTCATTTCAATGATTCCCTGATCACCCCTCCGGCTCAGAGGTGGGGAGAGGTTGCCGGGGGAGCGGGGGAGCCGCTCAGCTTCCTCCTCTCAAAATGCCCCTCCCACCAGGCAGCAATCTCCTTCCACTGATTCCCCTCCCACACTCAACCAGACCCAAAGTAAGACATTTAATATAGCCATTCTGACAACATGGGCCTTTGACCTTCTCGGCTATTTGCTGACCCAATTTGTTTGTTCATTTTACTCAGGAACATCGGCTACCAAATCCTAGCCCCCTCCCTGAGACCCTCCCATTTCTTGACCTCTGCTCTGACTCCTTCTCAACCTCCACCCCATTCCTGACCCTTAACCCTGACATGCACCCATTTCTGAGCTTCTGGGACTAAGAGACCAAAGCTTCAGTGGTCTATTTTAGGGCCGAGACCCCATTCCTGTCACCAAAAAACAGATACACAAAGGGAAGCGACAGAGCATGAGGTGAGGGGGCCTCAAACGTGGAGCCCAAACATCAACAGGCGAGGGACAGCCTCTGACCCCCCAGAGCTCCGGGAGAGGCAGAGCCACCATAGCAGGGAGCCTGGGAGCTGGGGTAACCCCAGACAGTGACAGCATGCTCCAGAAGAGGAACACAGCGGCCACACTTTCCCGATTTGGCAATATCTCAGCAGAACAAGGACGTTAGAAAATTCAGAGATTTCCAAGACCTGCCTCTGTGATTCCATCCAGAAATTCACCCGGGTGTGTCAGGCTGAGAGCTGCCTGGCCAGGTCCACGGACTCAGGCCACCCGTGGGCATCAAAACCAAGGCAGAGGGTGTCCAGGGACCAAATCCCCCAAAGTAAACAAAACTCAAAAGAGGAATCTTCAAGAATGACATAGGGATGTTGCAAAAGAGGGCCAGACCTGCTTGGGACTTATGGGGACTCTGGCCAAGACAGACACCCCTGGGGACCAGGAAACCTCTCGGGCTCTCTGGGTCTGTCTCTCTCTGCCGGGTGTTGCTCTCCTCACCTCTCTCTTGGTCTCTCTGTCCTTTCTCTGGTCTTCATCCTCTGTGTCATCTATCTCCCTCTCTCCCTCCCCCATCTCCTAGTCCCTGCCTCTGATTCCCCCCCTCCCTGCCTGCCCAGCCCCCTACCTGGCTCTGTGGCTCCATAATCTTTATGGCCTTGGGACCTGAGGGCTTCCGTGGAACGGTTACCTTTCTGATCCATTTCTGTCCACTAGGCTGGGGCTTCAGGAAGGCAGAACTTCTTCTCTGTATTATTTTCTGCTGTGTCCCCCCCCCCACACACACAGTGCCGGGGATAATGGCTGGCTCAATGACTTAAGGCTGGATGAAGAACAAACGAGCCACCTCTCTGGTGAGCATGGTCGGTATTTTATTTGGTGCTGGGTTGAACACAGGGCTTCACTTGTGCTAAATAGGAGCTTCCTGCCGATGGCTGTAAAGCAACAATGTTAACCATTGTCTCTGCTGCTGCTGCGGGTGCTGGAGTACTCCAGGCCAGGAATCGGGCCAGGCAGCTTCCTGCCCAAGCCTTACAAGTGGTTGTGAAGCACCATCACCATGCTCCATTTCAAAATGAGAAAACTGAGGCCCAAGAGAACCGATTTGTGCGTTCGTGCCCAGATCTGCCTAATTAATTCCCCAGCCCGTGGGTCCCCGATGAGTGGAAGATCAGGGGCGATTTAGAGCTCGGATCTGTCCCAGTTACGGGTTCCAATTTCAGCTCTGCCACTGAGCAGCCGAGACTTTTTAGAAAACTGCTGAATCTGCCAGGTGCAGTGGTGCACGCCTGTGATCCCGGCGCTTCGGGAGGCTGAGGGAGGAGGATCCCGAGTTCAAAGCCAGCCTCAGCAACTTAGCGAGGCCCTAAGCAACTCAGTGAGATCCTGTGTCTAAATAAAATATAGAAAAGGGCTAAGGATGGGGCTCAGTCTTAAGCGCCCCTGGGTTCAATCCGCGGTACCAAAAAAGGGAGAAAAGGAAATCGCCGTATGTCTCTGCCTGCCCCGATTTCCTCCCCTGTAAGATGGACGTCCTCCCAACGAAAGCGTCGTGGGACCAGCGCCCACCTCCAGGGCTGTCACGAGTTCCAGGTGGCTCACGCCTGCGCAGAGGACGCGCCTTCCCGCGGCGGCGCCGGGCACCGGAGAAGTGGGACTTCCCCTTCCGCAGCTGGCGCCTCGGGTGGGCGGTGCCTAGGGCATTCCGACGCTTGACTCCCAGTCGCTACCTCGGACGTCCGCGGAGGAGCAGCCAGAGTCCAACCCGCAGATCGCAGCGGCGCTCTGGGCCTGCGACACCGAGGAACCAACATGGTCTCACCCCTGGCGCTGCTGGCGCTGCTGGCGCTGTCCTGGGCGACCTGGGGAGCCGGTGAGTGACCTCTGCGCCGCTCGCGGTCCCGACCCAGCCCCCGCCCCGCTCCCCGCAGCTGTCTGCCTCTTGGGCCTCCGAAGGCTGCAGGCACCGACCCTCTGCCACGCAACCTCCTCCGCCCCGGGGCTGGAAGGAACAGGGACCCCCGCAGGACCCCCCTCTGAGCCGCCCTGACAGGGGCCCGGTGGAGTTCAGAGATTCCCGAAACCGGAGTCCGACTCCGGGAAAGGAGGATGACTCACGGCGGTGACCTCCGGCTCCCGATCGCCACGCCCGGGCCAGCCAGCGGCCAGGACCACCGAGAGGGCTGACCTGGGAGACGGCGGCACCGGCGCTGGCCCCGGGACCCTGGCCAGTCAGGGATTCATTCATTCATAGAATCGGGGCACTCTCTCCGCACTCGTTTATTGAGCACCTGCTGTGTGTCGGGGAGGGTGCCGGGTGCTGGCGCCGCAGCTCTCAGTCCGCTTGGGTTCAGACCTCAGCTGCTGGGATCTAATACCTGTGTGACCGTGGGAAAGTGAACTTGCTGAGTGGTGGCCGCGGGGGCGGGGAGGACCTTCCCTGGCAAGGCGGGTTTTGCGAGGATTTCGCCGCCCGCCCCAGCGCCAGGATGGTCTGGGTGCAGGGTGGAGCCCACCGACCCGCTCCCAGCCCAGGCTCTGCCCGTGTCTAACCCCAGGAAGTGACTTCACCCTCCCAGCCCGGCTTTCCCCTCTCTTAAAGGGACGAAAATTCTAGTGTGTATCCCACAGGGCTCTGGAGAGGGTTGGAGGAAGCTTCAGCAGAGGCCACCTCGCCCAATTTCATCCCCCACAATAGTCCTGCCAGGGAGGGGAGTCACCGACCCAGAGCTGCACAGCAAGTCAAGGGCAGAGTCGCCATCCGTCCCAGACCCCTTCAGTCACTGGGGGGAAAAAAAATGCCTGAGATAATCTTTTGTTTTTTTTTTGAGACAGTCTGGGCTTTATTGACATGATCTTGCTTCATTTCATTGATATGTTTCTTCTGTGCCCGGTGGGGGTTGTTGAGGGGTGTCAATCTGACATTATCTTGCCTTGAATCGCTGTGAGGTTCCAGAAGTTTTTGGGGTGCAGGTTGCTCTAGGGGAAGATGCTACTGTGCTATTGAAATCTAACTCTTTTTTGGGGGGGAAGGTTGTTACCAGGGATTGAACCCAGGGGCATTTAACTACTGAACCACATCCCCAGCCCTTTTTTTGGTACTTGATTTAGAGTCAGTCTCACTGAGTTGCTTAGGGCTTCCCTAAGTTGTTGAGGCTGACTTTGAACTTGTGATCCTCCTGCCTCAGCCTTCTGAGCCACCGGTGTGTGCCACCTGCCTGGAGAGATTATCACCTTCTAAAGAGCAAAGGTTTATTTGGCTCACAGTTCTGGAAGTTTCAATCACTGATTAGTTGGTTTGGGGCTGGTGACAAGGCAGCATATAATAGCAGGAGCTAGTAGTGGAGCTAAACTCCAGTGGGGGAGGAAAAAAGAGACTAAAGTCCCACCATGGCCTTCAAGGGCACACCCCCAATGACCTAAAGCCCTCCCACTAAGCCTCACCTCTTAAAGGGTCCCAGCCTTGACCACATGGACCTTTGAGGGAGTCCTGAGATCCAAACGATAGCACCCATTTTACAGGTGAGGAAACTGAGGCTCAGAGGCCTGAATCCACCTGCACAAGGGCCCCACAGCTTGTGCATGTCGGAGCTGGAGCTCCTGCAGGCCCCTCTGTTCCCTTGCCTCCTGTCCCCTCCTGCTCCCCCAGCCCTCTGAGCCAGCACTGACCTTATTATTATTAAGAAGAATCCATAGCGTTATGTTTACTAATGTCGGCAAGGGCCAGCACATGCTGAGGACCTACTGTGTGCTGGGCGGGCACAGAGAAGATTTTCCTATAGGATCTGGCGCCTTACTACAGACAGCCCAGGTTCCAATTCCCGCTGGCCCGGCGGTGAGAGGGAGCAGACCTCTGGGCCAGTGTCCCCATTTATAAAGGTGCTCTTGGTTTCCCTGCAGGAACGGGGACTGTCGTGGTCCAGGCACCTGCTCAGGTGAGCGGCCTCCTGAACGGCTCTCTGTTACTGCCCTGCCACCTGCAGCCTCTGGAGCCCAATGCGCAGGTGACCCAAGTGACGTGGATGCGGCAAGACTCAGAAGGAGGCCTCCACAAAGTGGCGGTCCGCCACCCGACGCGGGGCCCCAGCCTGGCGGAGCCGGAGCGGATCAGGTTCGCGAGCGCGGATCTGCTGGACGCCTCGCTCAGGGTGTCCGAGCTGCGCGCCGAGGACCAGGCCAACTACTCCTGCCAGTTCGCCACCTTCCCCATGGGCAGCGGGATCGCGTGGACCTGGCTCCGAGTGCTCGGTGAGCGGAGGGGACCCGAGGCGGGCGGCGAGGTGGCGGGACGCCGGGGCTCCACCGGCCGCTCCTGGGGACGGAGTGGGCGGGGCCCTGGCGGGGGCGGGGCGAGGTGGAGCGGAGACCGTGCAGGGACCGATCTTGGGAGGAAAATGCAAAACTCCTGTAAACAGCGCCACACTCAGAAAGGTGTCCTGGGGTCGCCTGAGTTTAGCCAGGTGAAGCTTTGCAAGGGGACGCTTGGGGACTTGTCCCCGCTCCTGGGAGCTCCTCACTAGATGTCAGCCGTTGCTCCCGTTGTTTAAAGAAGGAAAAGTTGAAACTGAGACAGTTGGGAGGCAGCGAGTGCCAGTCCCGCAGGGGACCGCTGGTTGTCCACCCCCCCATCCCCACCCCGACTGCAGGTGGGGCCCTGGGGACGGTTTCCTGAGCGGGGGTGGGAGGGTGGGGGTGGTTGACTAGTTTTCCTCTTGGAACTTGAACAGAAGTCCGCACGCCCCAGTTTTTCCTAGCCCTTCCAATGAGTCATGAAATTTTCATCACCTGCTTGGAACGTGCCCTGCAGACAATAGCAATACTGATGACTCCTCTTGGGGTCCCCCAGGCTGGGATTCCTGGGATTCCGAGTGTTAGATTTAGGCTGGGGGGGAAACTGAATCCATGAGTCACCCAAGGAAAAAGTCTTCAGTGAGTAATGACCCAGGTCGTGACAGGAAGCAACCCAGGGAAGCCCCCAGCTAGGGAACCACCACAGCAGCCGTTCAGATCTGGTCAACAGGGTTCTGGAACCAGGCGGACCTTGCCAGGAAGCCCAGCTCGGTGACCTTGGGTGGGTCACTTCCCCTCTGGACTTTCAGGGCTCAGGCTTCCTCTCCTCTGCAACATCTTCCTCTGATGTCCCCTCTGGGTCCCCCATCCCACGGCGGATCATCACTGTCTGGGGAACATCTGTTTGTACCCCAGGGTGGGGCAGGGCAGGGTGGCCTTGGTCATTACCACCCACCATTGAGCATTTATGTGCCAAGAGCTTTGCCTGCCTGCCTTCTCATTCCCTGTGACCCTTAGTTATCCCCAGTTGACAAATAAAGGCCACCGAGCTGCTCAGGGCAGAGCTGGGATCTGACCTGACCATCCTGGATCCTTAAATAGACACCGGCTGCTGCTGAGGGGTTTGGGAATGACCTCAGGCAGGAGGTGACCCACCCTGTTGCTTCTCCCCCCAGCCAAGCCCTGGAACACAGCAGAGGCCCAGGAGGTCCCCCTGAGGCCATCCACCGGGGAACCTGTGCCCGTGGCCCGCTGCAGCTCCAAAGGGGGGCGCCCACCCGCCAAAGTCACCTGGTCCCCGTTCCTGAATGGCTCAGCCAACAGCACCGTGGAGCCAGGACCCCTGCCGGGCACGTACACCGTCAACAGCGTCTTCACACTGGTGCCCTCCGGCCAGGCAGATGGCAGGAACGTCACCTGCAGGGTGGAGCACGAGAGCCAGGAGGAGCCTGCCGTGCTGCTGGTGACCCTCGCTGTGCCCTGTGAGTGTGCCCACGTGTGATCAAGGGCAAAGTCTCCATCGTCACATCGGCCCCACTGAGCCACCATAGCACCGCCCCGAGAACCGCAGCCCCACAGGACAGCCACTGCCCACACTGACGCCCCACCCAGTCTACACAACTCCCTTCAGCACGGTCTACACTGCCCCACACCTTGCCTGCAACCTGCTTCCCTGGGGCAACTGTCTACACTGGCCTTCCCCAGTGTCCACACGGCTGTCCCCCTTGTCTATATCCGTGCCTGTCCATTTTCTTTCTTTCTTTTTTTGGTACCAGCGATGCTCTACCATTGAGCTACACCCTCTGCCCTTTATATTTTTTATTTTGAGACAAGGTCTCTCTCAATTGCTTAGGGCCTCACCAAGTTGCTGAGGCTGGCCTCAAACTTGCAATCCTCCTGCCCCAGCCTCCCAAGCCTCTGGGATTACAGGCGTGCACCACCATGCCCGGCCCTCCTTATGCATTTTCTACCCAGCTTCCCGTTGTCTACACTGACTCCTGACATGGTCTATACCAATGCTGCTGAGCCACCAGCTCCCCTGGGTTAGATCAGTTTGCCCCGAGTTTTTTACCCGGGCTCCCTGAGCAGCATCGACATGATTCTTCCAGTGTAGCCTACGCTGCCCTCTGCCCAGTGCTGTCTACACTGCCTGCTCCCTGGGCTGCCCAACCTTCTGCATTGCCACACGGCTTCCTTGTGTTCTGAGCCCACAGCCCCCACAGCCTGGGTCTCCTACACAGTGTCACTTCCTCTACCCCCCCCCAGCATTGACATCATTGACACCCCAAAAATATGTCCACATGGGCAGCCCCATCCGATGGCAGGAGGGCACGAGCTACTATATGACTTTAAAGTTTGGACTAGCCACCTCCTTAAAAGAAAAATAAATGGTCCTGGGGACTGAACGCAGGGCTCCCCACTACTGAGCCATGCCCCAGCCCTGTTTATTTTTTATTTGGAGACGGCCTCTCACTAAATTGCCCAGGATGGCCTTGAACTTGCATCCTTTCTGCCTTAGCCTCCCAACGTAGCTGGACAATGGGGGGCCCGGTGACATTTCTGGACTGATGCAGGCTCAGCCAGGACTCTGTCTGCAGGACTTGTCAGAACCTTGAACGTGCTCCTGTGGGCTACAGGTGACGGGAGGCTTCTGCTCCCAGGACACCCAGGGCAGGCAGGGACGTGTCACAGGGATGTTGGCAGGGAGCTGGGCCCCGAAGCCCCCTCCACACCCCCCCTGACAGGGCCACCCACGCTCTGCCCTCGGAAGGAGTCCCCCGCCCTGGAGTCCCCCCACAGGCCTCTCCACCTTGGGCAGCTCTGCACTCCATGGAGGCCTTCTCCTGCCGGGAGGGGACACAGTGAACCTTCACACCCCAGGAAAGCGCCCGACTCAGCCTGTGTCCATCTCCCCCAGACCCCCCTGAGGTTACCATCTCTGGCTATGACGACAACTGGTACGTGGGCCAAGATGAGGTCACCTTGAACTGTGAGGCACGCAGCAACCCAGAGCCCACAGACTACGCCTGGAACACGTGAGTCAAGTGGATGGAGACCTGGGTCTGGGGGAGGGGGCTGGGCCTGGACCCTGGGTCTGGGGGAGGGGGCTGGGCCTGGACCCTGGCACCCCAAACCAAAGCTAAGCCAAAGAAAAATCAACCACAGTCCAGAGTCTGTGTCTGGCTTCCCACTCAGTCCCACCAACCCCTGGGCAATGCCACTTCCCTATCACCCTGTGAAGCCACTTAGTCACCTCCACAGGCTGCATGAGAAAGTTGAGGCTCCCAACCATAAGATTCCCCAAAGTCACACCAAGGTTGAGATTGGGGAAAAAAGGCAGAGGGGCTCATTCCTGTCATCCCAGTGACTCAGGAGGCTGAGGCAGGAGGATTGCAATTGTGAGGTCAGCCTCGGCAACTTAGCAAGACCCTGTCTCAAAATAAAATAAAGGGAAGAAAGAAACAAAAAGAAAAGAAAAAGGTATAGTTGATTTCTTTATTCATTTTGGCGCTGGGGGTGAATCGGGGCCTCAAAGATGCTAAGCAAATGATCTTCCACTGAGCTATACCCCCAGCCCCAAAGGATAAATTGCTTTACATTGTTGTTATTGAGCCTTTTTCTTCAGACAATATTTAGGAGTGAAAAGAAGAAAATAGTGCCTATAGTCATGTGAAGCCAGTCACCTCCAGAAGTATCTGCTATTACCTTTTGTTATTTATCCTTCCTCTCTTTTTCTCTATTTCTAAACAAAAGCTGGCTTTCCGTTGCTTGCGTGATTTTGATACTTCCTGTTCTCTGAACACCTTTCCGTGCCAAAGCACGTAGTTCCACAACCCCATTTTCCTTAACATCTTTATTAGGGGATTTTTCAAACATACAGTCATAAAAATTTCCCAGTCAACACTCCAAAGTCCACCCAGTGGATTCTCTCGCTGACACCGTACTGCGGGTCTTATCCCAGGTCTGCCCGCCAGCCCTTCCTGTCCTTGTATTTCAAAGCACCTCAGTCCTTTTTGGAATCTTGCTGGGATTCCATCCCAGGGCCTGCCATTATGATCAACTAGCCCTAAGGTGGGACACGGGGATCATTCTCCATGGTCCGCTGTGCAGATGTCACAGTGGTGCCGGTATTAAGCCTCCCACTTTCACAGAAAGTCACAGACATTTACCAATTATCAGTGGGAAAACTGTCATCAGGATTTTCTTTCTGTCTTTTGTTCCGGGGATTGAACTCGGGGGCATTTAATCACTGAGCCACCTCCCCAGCCTTGTTTGGTTTTGGTTTGTTATTGTTTTTAATTTTAGAGACAGAGTTTCACTGAGTAGCTGAGTTGCTTTTAGGGCCTCACTAAGTAGCTGAGGCTGGCTTTGAACTTGGGATCCTCCTGCCTCAGCCTCCCAAGCCACTGGGATTATAGGCATGCGCCACCAGGATTTTCAGTTGGCGGTGACAGGTGCCACCTTTGGCATCCTGGCTCCAGGCACCACAATTCGGGGTCTCAAATCTGATGGCTGGATTTACATCCAGCTCTGCAGAGCCCAAAACGTCACCTCCTCCACCTCTGTCCATTAAACCAAGGTGCTCCGCTATTTCCTGCATTCGGGGCCATGGGCCAACCTACTGCAGTAAATAAGACGGAGCAGATTCCGTCCCCTTGTGGGGCACCGAGGGAGGGGAAATAGGCAGGATGGAGTCGTAAAGCACATAGCAGGTCCGATATTGATAAATGTCGTGACAAAGATAAAACAGAGGAGGGGGATGGAAAAGAGGAGGGTCGTTGCAGTTTAAACAGGGTGGCCGAGGACGTTGTTGTGGAGGTGACATCTGGGCAGAGGCCTGAAGGAGGTGAGGGTGAGGTACCTGGAAGAGCATTCCAGGCAGAGGAACAGTGTATGCAAACACGTTTCTGCCCCTGGGCCTGCATCTGCAAAGGACAACCAGGAGGTCACCGTGGATAGACGCAGGAGCAATGGGAAGACTCATAGATAGTGTGGGCAGAAGGCTGGGGTAGGAGGGCGCAGGTCATGAGGGTGGCAGGGACCAGCCAGGGCAGGGTTCTGAATCCAGGAGGGGAAGGAGCTGAGGTCGGGCTCGCTGACGCCCTCTGGTGGTCATTTGGGGAACAGGCGAAAGCAGAAACTGGAGGGCCAAAGACTGGACCAGGGTGGTGGCTAGGGGGGCCCCAGGAGCGCGTGGATGATGGACAGGTTTTGAAGGTGGGGCGACAGGATTTTCCGGTGTTGGATGTGGGTGTGAAGGAGGAGAAGAGCCCCGGGACTCCAGAGTTGCTCTTGACCCATGTCATAGATGGCGTGATGGTGTCCATGTCCCTGGCACACACTGCATGCTGGGTGGCAGTGTCCCTAGGGCTCCAGCAGAGCCCCGTCCTTACCCATCTGTCTCCCCCAGGACCACAGGTCCCCTGCCATCCTTTGCTGTGGCCCAGGGCACCCAGCTCCTGATCTCCACCAACCAAGCGATCAACATGACCTTCATCTGCCGCGTCACCAACGCTCTAGGGACAAGTCAGAAGGAACAGACCATCCTAGTCAAAGGTGAGGCGCTCCTTGGAGACCTTCAGCCCCAGGATGCTCTGATGCCAGGCTTCCTCTGATCCCTCTGGTGAGAGGACCAGCAGGGTCAGCTTTACTTTTTCTTTTTTGGGCACCAGGGATTGAATCCAGGGGCACTTAACCCCAGAGCCCCATCCCCAGCCCTTTTGATTTTTTATTTTGAGACAGGGTCTCACTAAGTTACTTAGGGCCTTGCTAAGTTGGGGAGGCTGGCCTCAAACTAGTGATCCTCCTGCCTCAACCTCCCAGGCCGTTGGGATTACCGGGGTGCACCCCCACACCTAGCTAGTGGACCTGCTATGTGCCACCAGACCATAGTGCAGCCACCTGGACGCGCTCCCTCCACCCACTCAGGCTGGGCCAGTTGTGCGATGCCTCTTCCCCCAGGGACTCAGAAAAGCCTTTCTAAGTAGGTGGGGAAGAACTGCATCCATCGCAATTGACAGAAAAGCATGACTCAAAATAATCCGAGCAAAAAGAAGAAGTAGAAGACTTTATTGAGAATTTGCTTTCAAGTGCAGTTGGATCTGGGCGCCCCAGCTATGGAGCCCAGCAAGTTTCCTTTCCTCTAGCATCTCCGTTTCTTTCTGCTCTTCCGTTCTGTCCTAGGGAATCCAGCTGGTGCTCAGCAGCTAGAAGAGCTCGCCCCCACCTGTATACCCGGGGGAAGACAGCCCTGAGAGCTCTAAACCAAAACCCCAGGGCTGTCTCTCATTGGCGCAGCCCAGGTCCCAGCCCGCCTACATGAGCCAATCACAGCAGCCAGGGAGCTTGAGACGTTCCCATTGGCCAGGGCTGAGTCCAAGTCCGCCTGAGCCACACCCACTGGGCGGGGCAGAGTGGCCCGCGGGCTGCGGGCTCTAGAGGGACGCGCGCTGGGCGGGGGATCGCCCCAGAAGCTCCCTCACCTAAGGCCTGTTTCCTTCCTGCCAGACCCAGAGGGGTCTCGCCTGAGCCCCGGCGCCATCATCGGCATCGTTGTTGCCACCATCGCCTTCGTCATCCTCATCGTCGCAGGGATCCTTTATTTCAAGCTGCACAGGGGCTGTGGTGAGTCCCCTCCTCTTGGGCACACCCCCACCTGCCTGCCGTGAACCAGCACCCCCAGTCACCATAGTTGAACACCCACTGTGTGCTGGGCGTGGTGCTCACCGCGTGCACCTCTCCCTCCATCACCATGGAGTGTCCCCCATTTTAGAGACAAGGACCCAAGACCAGGGAGTCTCCGTCCTTAGTTCATCGAGTCATTTTACAAATATTTAGGGAGGGGGACAGTCATGTAAGGCCTCGAAGGCCACCGCAAGGACTTTGGCTTTTAGTCCGTGTGACACGGGAGCCCCTGCCAGAGTGATGGAGGGTGGGGTGACACGCCCCCACCAGCTTTTCTCTGCCTGCCTTGCCCAGGAGTGACCCCAGGGGGAGGTGGCAGGAACTGGCCCCCTTGATGCTTGGCTCTCAAAGGCCAGTGCCTCTGCACCGCAGGGACTTTGTCCAGGCTGTCCCCTGCCTGGAACCCCCTCCCCCCTCCTCCTGTGAAGTGCTTCTGCGGATTCTGTTGTCACAAGGCTGCGTTCGCTGAGCACTTTCTAGGGACCAAGGGTTCTGACACAGGAGCTCAGTGAATAGCACAACCACCCAGAAAAGAGGGTGCCACCGTAAGCCCTGTGTGACAGAGGAGGGAGTGTTTGCTGTGACAGGAGAAGTCTCCGGTCAGCAGTCACACAGCGAGGCAGGACTCCTGGGAGGAAGCTTTTCCCTGGGGGGAGGGGGGAATCTCGGGGTCCCCCTGGCCACACCTCCAGGAAGCCCTCCACCACCCCACCACCCCGCAGAGTGCACCAAGGTCTGCTCCCATTGGGAGCAGGAGCCATTGGGGTCACCACCGGGTGGGTATGTGTGTGTAACCCGGTGATCTGTGAGCCCAGGAGGGCACAGTGGGAGTGTCAGGGCCACAGCTGTGTCCCCAGCACCACCCGGCACTTAGGGAAGGGTTTCCTGAGTGGAGGGGCCAGTATCTGTGTGGGGGCCTCATGCCACACCATGTCGCCCAGCTCGCCCCCTCCGTGACCCAGGCCTGACAGGCACAGGGAGGGACAGTTATTTGGGCTTGTGGCTTCAGACTGTGGTTGCTCAGCCTTGTGGCTCTGGGCTGGTGGCAGCTCAGCACGTCCTGGTGGGAGCCTGGGACAGAGGAGGCCCGGCCAGCTCATGGTGGCCAGGAAACAGAGAGCCAGGAAAGAGTCAGGACCCAGCATCCCCTCAGAGGGCATGCCCCCCAGTGACCTAAGGTCCTCCCATCGGCCCACCATCCAGTCTCCCAGCACCTCCCATAGCTCCAGGGCTATGGTTAAGCCTGCAACACAGTGTCCTTGAAGGTCATTCAAGGTCATAACCATGGCAACTGTCTCAATCTCACCATGAGCAAATGGTGTGACTCAGTTTCCTAAACTGTAAAGTGGGAGTAGCCATCAGCATTTAGCACAACATCGACATGCTGTAAGCTACGCCTTGCTATTACGATCATCATCATCATCATCATCGTTATTAAAATTCTACCAGAGCGGGGAATTTTTGTGTCTTATGCACAGTTGAATTCCTAGCACCTTGAATGCCCCTGGTACAATATAGTTACTGTTTGTTGAATAATAATACAATCTTCTGAATAAACCCCTGTTGGATAATGGAGGAAACCGAGGCACAGAAAGGTTAAGTCATTTGTCTAAAGTCACACAGATCCTAAAGAACAGAGATGGGATTTGAGCTCATGCAAATAAATTTTCATTTATTTTTTATAATCAAATTAATATCTGGACGACTAACTCCTTAAAGAGCACTTAACCATCCATGTTTGATAAATGTGTGCCCCGCTAAGGGAAAGAGCACCCCCAGATCACTAGCAAAGGCAGGACTTTGAATTTCCAGGGCCCAGACATCCGCACAGGTCCCCTTCCCAGCCCCGCCCCCCAGCATTGTCCTTTCTTCCTGAAATTTTCCTCTTTCTCCAGATGGCCACCGCGACCGACCCAGACCTTCGGAGAACGGGGTAAGTGCGGAGGTGCAGCTGAGGAGGGTTTGGGGGTCTGTGGGGACCACAGGTCAATTGCTAGGACTTTCTCCAGGAGGGGACACACAGAATGGCACTGGGGGCCTAGATCTTTCCTCCCATTGCCTCAAGCTGCGGGAGTCTCGGTAGAGTTTGAAGCCCCCTGCGACTCAGGTGGGGGCTGGGGATCGTCCCTGCAGCACTGCGCCCCCCAGTGACTGTTCCTGGGAGCACTGGCCTGGCTTCCAGGGGGAGGGGAGTGGGCGGCGCTCTGCCCTTCAGCTCAAAGATCCGCCTGTTGTCTGAAAGTGTCCGAGGCTAACGCTGAGCTCCCCCTTCCAGGACGTCACCTACTCCCAGGTTCAGAGGGACGACCCCCTGGATGGACCAGCCAAAAGCACAAGGTGACAGTGTCAGCACTGAACAGAGGGACAGAACTGCTTAGCCGGGAGCCTCGCTGGCGGGACCCCACCCGATGGTGGAAGACCCCTGCAGCAGGCCAGGCCGCCCCGCGCACACCTGCAGCCTGTCCCCTCACGGTGCCGTGGGCGGCTGCGAGTTGGGAGCCCCCAGGGCCTCTTTCTGGGCTCCTCACTTGCAAGAAGAATCCACAGGCCTCCAAGAAACCGCTGGCCTCACTCAGGAGAGCCGCCAACTCACGACGACAGGTCACCATCAGCCAAGAGGACAGCACCGAGCAGGTCTGGGGGAGCCATCGGGGGCTCCTCCTCTTGCCTCTCCCGGCGACTCCCAGGGTCAGCACTGAATGCCCCCAGCACTGATGTGACCTCGAGCCAGGGAAGCTCACCAGCGACCGGAGGGTCCCGACTTTTGTTTGTTTCTATTGTTGTTATTGAACTGGGATTGAACCCAGGGACACTTAAGCACTGAGCCACGTCCCCGGCCCTTTTTTATATTTTATTGAGAGACAGGGCCTCGCTGAGTTGCTTAAGGCTAGGTTGCTGGGGCTGGCTTTGAACTCCAGATCCTCCTGCCTCAGCCTCCTGAGCCATTGGGGTTACAGGAGTGTGCCACCGCGTGTCCTGACTTTTTATCGGGGTCAGCACATGGACGCTGCTGGCCTTCTATGCGGCTGACCCTGCTCTAGCCTCTCCGTAGTCAAACCAAGGGCCCCGCTGTAGCTTACTCCATTACTGGAAACCCCCCTCCCCGAGTGGCCCAGGCCCTGAGGCAAACTGACAGGCAGGATGTTCCAAGGGTTCACAGGTGACCTTGCAGGGGCCGGGGACAAAGGCCAGCTCTCTCCTTGGGCAGGGTTAATCTTTTTCTGCACAGAGGACACCGAATGTGCCTGCTGCCAGAGAATGTGGGCCTCTGGCACTGAACTTCCAAACGTCTGTGTCAGCTGGATCTCCGTGGTGACAAGTAGCAGCCCTGAGCCTGGTCACCAAAGAGAACCAGACTGCCCAGGGTTGTACGAGGACCTGGAGTGGCAAGTGACAAGTGCGAGCCTGTGGGGGGCTGTCAGCCACCACCCAGATCCCAGGACAGCATCTGCAGCCGCGCCAGGATTCCCGGGAGGTGACCTTTAGCAAGGTCAGACCCTGTGCCCAGCAGCTATGCCACCCTGGACGCAGAGCCGCTCTGCAGGCCGCACTGACACTGAGAAACTTATTATTATTTTTGACTTCTGTAGATGGTCACATGCCTCCATCTTACTAGCTCCTTATTGTTTTTACGTGGTGCTGAGTATGGAACCCGGTGCTTACACGTGCTGGGCCAGCGCTCGCCCCTGAGCCCAGCCCAGCCCAAGAGACTTGGGACTTTTAAAGTTGACTGTGAAAGGCCTGCGGGAGGCGGGGGTGTTGCTCAGGGCTAGGGGACAGCCTGTGGCCAGCACACCCGAGGCCCTGGGATGGAGTCCCAGCACCACAAAAAAAAACCCCTAGGATCCGAGTCTGTGGGAGGAAACACAGCAGGGTTTGGAGTCCCTCCAGAGAGCCCCAGGGAGCAGAGGAGGGTGGGGGAGAAGGGACAGGAGTGAGGGACCAGGCCGAGGTCCACACTGCTGGAGAGTCGAGGGAAGGATTGATTTCCATATATTTATTTATTTAAGTAAAATTTATTTAATAAATAAAATTTATTTAAATAAACCCTTAGTTTATTTAACTGTGTGCCCAGGATTTTTTTTTTTTAATTGTTTTTTAGTTGTGACTGGACACAATACCTTTATTTCGTATTCATCTTGACATGGTGCTGGGCATTGACCCCAGGGCCTCGCACGTGCCAGGCGAGCACTCTACCGCTGAGCCCCAGCCCCAGCCCAGGGGGCTTTCCTTTAACTTATTTTTTATATTTGTTCATATCGTACACACAGGGAGCATAGCTTCCCCTTCTCGTGGTTGTACGTGAGGTGGAGTTTCACTGGTCGTGTTCACATATGAACTTGGGAAAGTGATGTCTGGTTCATTCTACTGGGCTTTTCCATTCCCATCCCCCCTCCCCTTCATTCCCCTTTGTCTAATCCAGTGAACTTCTGTTCTTCCCCAACACATCTATTGTGAATTAGCATCTGCATATCGGAGAGAATATTCAGCCTTTGGTTTCTGGGGACTGGCTTATTTCACTTAGCACGATAGTCTCCAGTTCCATGCATTTACCAGCAAATGCCATGATTTCATTAATCTTCATGGCCGAGTAATATTCCATTATATATATATTCCGCATTTTCTGTACCCATTATCTGTGTTGAAGGGCACCGAGACTGGTTCCATAGCTTGGCTATTGTGAATTGAGCTGCTAAGAACATTGATGTGAATATGTCACTGTGATGTGCTGATTTTAAGTCCTTTGGGTGTATGCCGAAGAGTGGGATAGCTGGGTCAAATGGTGATCCAACTTCTTTTAAAAGAAGTTTGTATGTGTGTGTTTTAGCACAAACCTATGTGTTTTAGCACAATTTTGGTAAAAATAATAAAAATTTGTTACAGAAAAAAAATTTTTTTCCTAAAAAAATTTTGTTTACAAAAGGACAAAGTGACCTGGGAATTCCACTCCCAGGAATGTAACCCCCAAAGAATTGAAAACAGGCACTTGAACACATATTTATATGCAGAGGTTCACACCAGCTCTACCACAATAGGAAACGTGGTGTGCCCAGACAAAGGATGTTCTTCAACCGTAAAAACAGAACCGAGCCCCAAGGCATTACACTAAGTGCAAGAAGCTGGCCACCAAGGCCCCCTGTTGCATAATTCCATTTATATGACATTTGCAGAAACGGCGGCATCCGCAAAGACAGCCAGAGTGTTGTGGAGGCTGGGAAGGAGGAAACTGGGAGCAAACTGGGTTCAAGGTTTCCTTCTGAGGTGATGAACATGTCCTGGGTGCAGATGGTGGTGATAGGTGTGCAACATCGTGAATGTACTAACACCATAAGTTTTCAATGGTCAGAATGGGAAAATGTGTGCATTTTAGCACAATTTTGGTAAAAATGATAAAAATTTGTTACAGAAAAAAAAATTTCCTAGTTCTTCACTTACTGGCAGAATTTTCAGGAATACATCAAAGCTTTGAAGTAAAGGATGAACGTATATGCAAGGGTTAGCCAGCACAGTGGGGCCCGCCTGTAATCCCAACGACTCAGGAGGCTGAGGCAGAAGGCTCACAGGTTGGAGGCCAGCCTCAGCCACTTAGCCAAGCCCTAAGCAACTTAGGGAGACCCTGTCTAAAATTTTGAAAATATAAATAAAAATTAAACGGGCTGAACATGTAGCTTAGTGGTAAAGCGCCCCTGGTTCAATCCCCAGTATCAATAGCAACTCCCCCCACCCCCGGCCCCACCCCACCCCTCCTCTGCAGGCTGATATTTAAAATAAGGAGCTGGATTTTCCTGCTCTACTCCAGGAACCCCGGTTTCTCAGCCCTGCTTCTCTGTGATTCATTCTGCTTTCCTCCAAATGTTGCCATCAGCCTCAGGTTGATGCCCACACGGTGGGGCCACTCAGCCATCACCTCCACCCAGTCTCAGACCCAGAGGAGCAGCCCATCCCTTCGGGCTGAATCTCTAGGCCTGAGGAGCTCCTCCCTGCAGCATCCCTCCCATCTCATTGGCCAGCTCCCACACCGCCCAACCAATCCCAAGCCAGAAGAATGGGCCACCCGAGGTGTGGGGTCCGGCCTCTGAGGCTGGGAGAAGCCCGGAGGAAGGAAGGCTGTTGGTGGCGACTGCCTCTTGGAAGCTGGAAGACGTTTGAATTTTATTTTCTTCTTTTTGAGTTAATGACTAATAAATGTTTTATAATAAACTTAAACTGTGTTTTAATAGTTGAAAATGAATCAGGAGAGGGAGGAAGGGGGAGAGGGAGGGGGAGGAGGGGATAGAGGGGGGTAAGAAAGAGAAGGAGAGGGAGGGGAGGGGGAGGGGAGGGGAGGGGGAGAAAGAGAGAGAGAGAGAGAGAGAGAGAGAGAGAGAGGAGGGAGATCTCTCACGCTGCTTCATCAACTGGAAAATCCGGAACAGCTGGCTGCTGTAATTGCTGATTGGCAAAAATCTGACAGGAGATCCCAAAACTGCAGCAAGAAGGACTGGGCTGTTCTGACCTGTGACACCACGGGGAACCTCCCAGGCAGCCGGGAAGTGGGGGGTCGGAAACCCCTGCAGGGAAGAGACGCCTGGCTGGAGGGTGGGGCGTGGGGACAAGGTCAACAGTAAGTGAGAGCCACCGGGCGTCGAGGGCCACCTGCGCACAGCCCCGGTTACTCCTCTGAGCCCTCCGTGAAGTGGCCCTGTGGATTCCCATCCTCCAGAGGAGGAAGCGGGCTTCAGGGACGCAGCCCCAAGATCCTGCAGCCAGGGTCTTGTTAGGCCACTCAGCGAGAGACCAAGCCCCGAGGTTGGAGGGCAGGTGGACTCGCTGCTGACCCAGAGGCGCTGGGGCTCTGGAGCTGTGGCCGAGCTGAGGCTTCCTGGGGTTTCCACAGGAAGCCGGGCATCCCTCTTAACGGCCAAGACATGGGGGGGACGGAGTTCTTGACCTTTGTGACCAAGGACATGTGCAGAAATGTCACCACAGGTAGTTCCCAGGCGTGGGGAACAAAGACCGTAGAGCACTGGAGGCTGTTATCTTTATGTGTAAATTGTTTTTCCTGGCAGGTGGGCACAATAGCTCTACTTATTTCATTTTTATGCGGTGCTGAGGTTGGACCCCAGTGCCTCCCGTGTGTAGGCCAGCGCTCTACCACCAAGCCCCAGCCCCAGCCCCTGTGGACGTTATCTTGACCTGATGTCACCAGGAGATCTAGACGACAGAGTTCCCCTCCTGAGACTCCATCTAGTTCTAAGAACCCCCGAGGTTACAGTTTCGACTGCAGTCAATTTGCCCAGCAATTAGTGACACAGCTGCTCCCCTACAGAGTCCAGAAAGTTCCAAGTAGAAGAAAGGACTCTTCACAGACACCTGTCGCATCTCTGACCTGAAAGCCTCCAATAGGGGCCTTACATTTTAAGAGGGAGTCCTCAGACTCCTAGAGACTCCTAGAGATGGTGATTTACAGTTCAGCAGGTGGGGACCCTGGGGAGTTGGGTTCCCTGGAGAAAGGCCACAGGAGGGGAGGGGAGCCAGCCCCTTCCCCAGGCCTTGGCTCTTCATCGTGATGTTGTCATGATTTCATTTTGTAACCAGGTCTGGCCTCAAACTTGGGATCCTCCTGCCTCAGCCTCCCCAGTTGCTGGGATCACAGGTGTGAGCCACCACACCCAGCACTCGTTTTTTAATACATTTTAAAATGTACATTGAAATACATTATGTACATAGACATTTTAAATGGCTATTTAATTTTTTTGATATTTTAAGTGGCTATTTAAACTTATATTGAACTAGCCCATGTGGCTAATCGCTACAATCTCAGCACAACCCGGGACCTTCCAGCGCCCAGG